TACAGGCAGCTGGTCCTGACCTGACGGATGTTTTTACACCTCTCTGTGTAGCACCAAAGTGAGGCATGACCTGAGATTCCAGTTTTAAATCAGGTGAGAGCTGCTAATCCCCCAATCCCCACACTGGTCATTACAGCTAATTACAGATGTTAATTAAAAGGTAAGGACTCCACCAACCACCACTGGATTCCCAATAAATTAATGAGGTTTTGCAGTGAAATACACCCCTGTCCCCCTAGGAGGTGCCTTTTCTGTAACCCTGAATTCTTGGCCTCTGTCACAACTCACACTTTTCTATGACCTGAGGACAGCCAGGGCTGGGATGTGTGGCCAAAATCCTCTTTTCCAGCAGTTTTACACAAACCCTGGTCCCCTGGTGACTCAGTGCATCTGCTGTTACCCAAACACCCAAGCCCTGCCTTCAGAACCAACTCCACAGCTCTAAAATCTGTTCTGCAGCCTCGTTTCCTATTACACCATCATTAATCACTCCCTCCCTAATTTCCCTCTCATCCCAACACCCACCTGAGCTGAATGAAGCTCTACAACCCCAATGAGATCACCCTCACCACCTCTAAGAGACAAACAGGAGCTTAGGGCAGTCCCAGATCCCTGTCCTTTGTGCTGGCAGGACAAATCCCTGCTGAAATGCCAGCTGGCACCAGCCCCCAGGTCATCTGGCTGCCCAAATTCCCCCACTGCTCTAAAAATGAAATGCTCCCACTGCTTTAAAATCCCTCTTTAAATGACATTTCATCCCAACTGCTCTGGGAAAATGTATATAGCAGCACCAGGTGTTTTGGGACACACTTCCATACCCCAAAAGCTACAGAAGTGGTCAGATTCAGGCACAAGGGAGCAGCACTTCCTCAGAAAATCAGCAGGGGCAGGAGAACTTGTTACCTGTCCAACAGGAATAAACCTGCAGCTCTATTGGCATTTTTAATGATGTTCTTACACCACACAGAACCTTCTATCCTGTACAGGGCCAGGAGTTGGACTTGGATGATTCTCCTGGGTCCCTTTCACCTCAGGATATTTGCTGATCTGATGATTTGATCATTTTAATATAATATAAAATATATTGTCTGGAAATTTGATTTCCAAACTCTCTCACTCCATTGCCAGGCTGGACTCGTACTTCCCTTCCTTCTGCAAGGTTCCTTAATCAAATTGTTTCTTTAAAACCCCTAAAAATGTTTTTTTTCCTTTCTCTTAAAGCATCATTTCAGATCTCTGTCTGGCCCTGGCAGTAACACACTTACTGTAACAAAAGCAAATTAAAACAGGCTGTAGGGGAAGAAAATTCCCTTCTGTATCTTCCAAACTGCCCAGATGTGGCACCAAATCCCCTAAAACCTGTCCCAGTGCTCTGCTTACCCCCCTTCACTCTCTCCATCATCTGTGTTGAGTTTCCCTGAGCTGGCTGTGAAATAAATGGAGCTGGAGCCTGTGGAGTCACTTCTCTCCCTGGAGAAGGGGAACTTCCTCCGGCGAGCCACGCGCTGGGTTTCCTCCAGGTGGGTCCTGGAGGGAAAGAAAAAGGAGGAGAAATAAATATTTGGTAGTGAAATGTCTGCTATTCCCCTTCTCCTTTCCAGCAGACTCCAGACAAATCCCTTTCTAGGCAAAGAATTCACGAGGTGGTTCACTCCTGCTTGTACAAACTCAAATGGAGCTGATGTTGTGTTCTGTATGATATATAATATATATTATACAATATAATGTATCTAACATAATGCATTCGATATATTATTTTATATCATATAGAATACATATGATATTATACAAAATTATATAATAATGTATTATATAAAAAATTACAGTTATATCAAGGGATAGGACAAGTGGGATGAGCTTACGTATATATTATTGTTATATTATGTTTTATGTATATATTATTGTTATATTATGTTATATATTAATGTGTTATTATTGTGTTGTTATATTATGTAATATATAATGTATATTGTATAGTATATCATATATAGTTATATTACCCCCCTTCACTCTCTCCATCATCTGTGTTGAGTTTCCCTGAGCTGGCTGTGAAATAAATGGAGCTGGAGCCTGTGGAGTCACTTCTCTCCCTGGAGAAGGGGAACTTCCTCCGGCGAGCCACGCGCTGGGTTTCCTCCAGGTGGGTCCTGGAGGGAAAGAAAAAGGAGGAGAAATAAATATTTGGTAGTGAAATGTCTGCTATTCCCCTTCTCCTTTCCAGCAGACTCCAGACAAATCCCTTTCTAGGCAAAGAATTCACGAGGTGGTTCACTCCTGCTTGTACAAACTCAAATGGAGCTGATGTTGTGTTCTGTATGATATATAATATATATTATACAATATAATGTATCTAACATAATGCATTCGATATATTATTTTATATCATATAGAATACATATGATAGTATACAAAATTATATAATAATGTATTATATAAAAAATTACAGTTATATATCATATCATATAATGTATTGTTCTATTATGTATATATTATTGTTATATTATGTTATATATTAATGTGTTATTATTGTGTTGTTATATTATGTAATATATAATGTATATTGTATAGTATATCATATATAGTTATATATATGTTTTTCATATATAGTTATATATATGGTTTTGCATATATATAATATATACTACGTTTTACATGTAATGTATAATTATATAAAATATTATATAACATAATGTATCTAATATAACGTATTAGATATGTTGTATTATATAACATACAATATATATTATATATAATTACATAATATAGAATGCATAATATATAATAGTTATATAATATATAATAGTTATAGAACTATTATATATAATAGTTATATATATAATAGAATGTATGATTATATAATATGTGTTCACGTATTCTTATATAACATTATGTGTACTGTATAATATTTAATAAGTACATTATATAACTATATATATTTTATATCATATATATTTTACATATAATAAATAATTATATAATTATATAATATATAATATGAAATATATAATACATCATACACTATATAATGTGTCTAATATAATGTATCTGCAGGTAAAGCAAATCCCCCTCCATGGACAGCCCGTGCCAGCCCCTACAGACTCCAGAGACGTGATATCCAGCCCCTGCAACAGGAACTGGGGTGACAGCACGGGCTCAGACTGGAAATTTAGCCTGGCTGCAGGGAGTGGATCTTTCCCTGTGAGGGCTGGAATGGTTTCCCAGAGAAGCCGTGCCTGCCCCATCCCTTGGGAGCGCTCCAGGCCAGCCTGGGCCGGTGGCAGTGTCCCTGCCGTGGGTGGCAGGGCTCCGCGGGGCTGTTTCCCGGGAGAGGGGGGCAGTACCTGATCTCCCCCACGATGCCCGCGGCCAGGTCCTGCAGGCTGCTCCTCAGCTCTTCCACCTCCCTCCGCAGCTCGGCCACGTTCCTCACCACGAAGTCCAGGCGCTCCAGCAGCTCCAGCTGCTCGTCCTGCCTCAGCACGGGGCTGGGCACGGCTCCCTCGGCATCTCCCGCCGGGAGCAGCGCCCCGGGCACCGGCACGGGCACGGCCTGGCCTGCGGCACAGCGCGGCACAGTCAGGGCCCCGAGGGCACGGCACGGCACAGCACGGCACAGTCAGGGCACAGTCAGGGCCCCGAGGGCACAGCACGGCACAGTCAGGGCCCCGAGGGACAGGACTCCGGGGGGAGCACGGCTCTGCTGGCAGGGGACGGGCTGGCTGCCGATGGGGACACCCAGGGGACACGGGGGAGCAGCGGCTTTGCTGCAGGGAGAGGCTGGGAGGGATGGGACTGCTCAGCCTGGAAAAGCAAAGGCTCTGCACTGACCCAGCCTGAAGGAAACGTGGAAAAGGCTCTTTGCAAGGGCCTGGAGCGACAGCACAAAGGGGAGCAACTCCAAACTGAAAAACAGGAGATTTAGATGGGATACTAGAAGGAATTTTTCCCTGTGAGTGCTGAAACCCTGGCACAGGGTGCCCAGAGAAGCTGTGGCTGCCCCTGGATCCCTGGCAGTGTCCAAGGCCAGGCTGGATGGGGCTTGGAGCAGCCTGGGATAGTGCAAGGTGTCCCTGCCCAGGGCAGGGGTGGCACTGGATGAGCTTTAAGTTCCTTTCCCACCATTCCAGGGTTTCATTTTCTGTTCCCGAAGTTTGGCACAGACACAGATGAAACTCAGGAAGTTCAGGGTTCCGAACCAGCACTCCTAAAAGCCCAACCCCCCAAACCTCATTCCCCTTATGCCGGCCCCATTCCCCCCTATTCCAGCCCTGCTCCCCCCTTCCATCCCATTCCCCGAATTCAGTCCCTGTTCTCCCCAACTCCAGCCCCATTCTTCCTTTTCCATCCCCATTTCCCACATTACAACCCCATTTCCCCCGTTTCAACCCCATTCTTCCAACTCCAAGTGCGTTTTCCACTCTTCCTATTCCAACCCCATTCCATTTCCTCCACTCCCACCTCCTGCCTCCCTACCCCACTTGCCCATTCCAGCCCCATTCCCCCGCATCCCGACCCGGCTCGTACCGCGGCACGGCGGCCCCGCCGCCTCCTTGGAGCGGCGGCGCATGACCCAGATGACGCCGAGGCAGAGGCCGGCGCCCGCCGCCAGCCCCAGCGCCATGCCCAGCCGGGGCCCGGCCCGGGCCGGCTCCGCCACCGGCACCACCATGGCCGCTCGACACCGCCCGCGGCGCGGCGCGATGGCGTCACGGAGAGGCGACCGCGGCGTGGGGAGGGGGGGGGCGGTCTGGGGCGCGTGACGTCACGGGCGCGCGGGGAGGCGAGGCCACGCCCACAGCGGCGCGCGCGGGCGTGCGGGGACAGCGGGACAGGGACAGCGGGACAGGGACAGCGGGACACCGGGACGACCGCGGGACAGGGACAGCGGGACACGGGGACAGCGGGACAGGGACAGCGGGACGGGGACAGCGGGACACAGGGACACCGGGACAGGGACAGCGGGACGGGGACAGCGGGACACAGGGACACCGGGACAGGGACAGCGGGACAGGGACACGGGGACACCGGGACAGGGCTGTTGTGGTGGGGGAGCTGGGCACAGAGCTGGCTGTGGGCACAGAGCAGCGGGTTTTGGGATGAGGTAATGGATTTGAGGTGGAACAGGCCAAGGAGACAGGAATGGCCAAACAATCATGCCAGGCATTTGGGGCTGGAATCCTCCCTTCTGCAGGAAATGTGGTGGGATCCCCCAGGAAGAACTCCTTTATCCCAGAATCATTGAAACCAGAAATTGCTTTTTCTGAAAGGATTCCTTAGGGAAAGGTGCCAGTCAGGAGAGGGAAAACCCTCCGTGTGTGCTCCCTGCTCCTGGGGGTTTGGGCAGAGCCAAAGAACCTTCTACTTCCCTTTTCCTGAATTATTGGGAGCAATTCCGAGCCAGCCCAGTGCAGGCAGAGCTGGGAGCAGCCAGCTCGGAGCCACAGGGTGATAATCTGCCTTGGGATGATGGATGAGATCTGGCTGCCTCCCAGATTTTGGTATCTCCTCCAGAAATTCAATATTAAAGTGTTATGTATAGCTCTGCTCTCATTTCCCTCTTTTTTTCTTTCCTATCTTTTTTTGCCCAGGAAAGAGCCACATAAGAGTCAGAGGCAGAGCTGGGCAGGCTGCCAGAACCCTGGCTGGTTTTCCTTTAATTTCTGGAAAGGTCTGGGTTTCATATCCATATAATTCCCTGTGTAACCACAGAGCACACGTGCCCAGCAGAGGTCCAGAGGGGTCATGGATTTTGGGAATTCTGTCAAAATCCAACCCAGCTGGGTGAAATGTGCCCTTGGTTCATTGGGCAACAGGTTTGCACTGGGACAGGAGAGCAGTGAGCAAACATTCCAGCTGTTCCAGGACTTGGGGAAGAGGCTCTGCTGGGGATGGGAATGATCAAAACAAGCTGATGTTTAACCCTGGGGGGAGGTATCCCACAGGGAACTCCTAATGGACATACTGGGATTTGTGGGACGTGCTTTGGGGAGAGACCATCAGTTTCTTGTGTGTCACCAAACCACGAACAAGTCAGTGACAATGTCAATAACAACAATTAAAAGCAACAACAATAATAATTATAACAACAACAACAATTAATAATTAATAACACATCAATAATAGCGGATATGCAGCGCCTCTGCCTCCTGGTCTCAGGAAATGGGACTTCTCCAATTATGAAGGAATTTAAACCCCCCATGTTCTCAGATAATAACAGTATAAAAAGAGATTATTTTCCAAAAAAAGTTGGTAATGCTGAACATCGTGCTTCAGGGGAATGTTTGGTCAGACTGTGGGGTGGGAGTGGGAATGCTCCGCAGGGCCCACCTGCCTGGCTCCTGCTCCACCATCTCCCAGTCCTCACTCCCTGCTGTTATTTCCTGGTCCTTTATCTCCCTGCTATTAATTTCCGTTTTCTTCGTCTCCCTTATCCACCATCTCCCTGTCCATCATCTCCCAGTTCACTGCCTCGCCGCTCATCATCTCCTGTCCTACATCTCCCTGTCCTCCACGTCCTGCATCTCCTCTCCTGCTCCATCCTCTCCTGTCTGCTGTCTCCCAGTCCATCCTCTCCCGTCCTCTGTCTCCCAGTCCATCCTCTCCCATCCTATCCCCTCCCTGCTCCTCACCTTCTGTCCCCTCCTGCTCCTCACCTTCCAGCCCGTCACCTCCTGCCCACCCCGTGTTGGGAGGGCAGTGCCGCGATCCCGAGGGATCCATCGGAGCCCCCGAGCCCTCCGGGAGCTTTCCCCCGCCGCCCGGGGGCGGGACCGGGGGCGGCCCCGGGCAGGTGCCCCGGGAGCGGCGGCGGGAGCGGCGGAGCGGAGATGCCCTACCTGCTCATCAGCACCCAAATCCGCCTGGTGAGTCCCGGGGCACCCCCGGCGGTGGGGAATTCCCGGGGGGGCGGGCAGGGACCGACCGGGGCGAGCCGTGAGACCCGCGGTGCCACCGTGACCGGAGCGATCCCGGCGTGGGCTGGCCCTGCTGCTGCTGGGGGGTTCGGGGTGATACGGGTTTGGGGGACCCCAGCACGGCCAGGCCGGTGAGAGGTCCCCGTGAGAGCCCCCGGTGTCCCCACCCGGCTCTGCTGCCCCAAACCCTCGTGTCCCAAATAGCGACTCACTTGGGAAACTTGCAGTGGGATCCCACGAACGCCAAAGGGACGGCCCCTCTTGTCCTCGCAGCTGGTTTTCCCTCGTCCCCAAAAAGCCATCCCAGGGTGGAAAACGCGGCCAAGGGGGTGGGCACGGCTGGGCAGTGGCTGGGATCTCTGGCTGGGATCAGTGTCCAGGAGCACGGGTGGGATTGCTGGCTGTCCCTGTCAAATAAAGCCACAAAGCAAACGTTACTCCCCGGCACTGGCAGCAGCCACATCCTGCAGGACTCTCCAGGAGCCCACAGCTGGGTGTTTATCTGGGGTTTCCCTTTTCCCGACATCCACAAGCCTGGAGCTGCTGCTGCGGTTTGGGGCAGGAAGCAGGGGCAGTGAAAACAGCAAATGAGCAAAGGGAGGGAGTTGTGATGGACACTGCTGCTGCTGCCACTGGAGATGTCCCAGAGGAAGCAGCAGTGGGTTGGGAATGGGGATTTGTGGGGATGCTGCAGCACCAAAGCAGCTGTGGGATCGTGCAAGTTGATTGAGTGCTTATGGATGAGGTACAGACGGGACACATGGATTATGGCACTGGAGGGAACAGCCTGGAGCAGCAGGGCTCAGTCTGCCCTCCAGAGACTTTGGAAGCTCTGCTCTTTGCCAAAGGGGCAAAACAAACATTTCCAGTGTGGAACCTGGCATTGAGCTGAGGCTGGAACCTTCCTGGGTGAGCAGCTGCAGTGGCTGGCACTGAGGGCCCCTGCTGGGAGTGGCCATGTCACCACATGTCCCTCACCACTCTGTGCCTGTCCCACAGGAGGCTGGGCCCACCATGGTGGGCGACGAGCACTCGGATCCCCACCTGATGAGCATCCTGGGGGCCACAAAGAGGAGCACGCTGGGGAACAACTTGTAAGTCCTCCTCTCCTTATCTTCCCAAGAAATGCAGAACATTTTCACTCCTGGAATTCCCCACAGCACCTTCCAGCTGTACAGTTAATCCCAGGACTCCCATGTGTCCTGTTAATGAGGAAATGCTGCCTGATATTTCACTTGGTTCTTTCCTTTGCTCTGACCCTTGTTTTAGCACCTGACTCCCCTTTCCTTCTCTTGGTGCCATCCCTGCCTTGCTCTGCCTGTGCCTTTCTTGGTGCTGAGACACCAGAATGCTCACCCAGTTCTGTCCCTCCCAGCTGCAGTCTGTCTGTCCATCCCATCCCACTCTCCAGTGCAGCTCAAGGCTTCACCTGAGCCAGCCCTTCCCAACAGCTCCCAAACCTTTTCCATGGGCAGCTGAGCCCTGGGGCTGGAGCTGCTTCCCATTGTGTCACCCCTGACTCTGACCCCTCCCAAGCCGTGGATATTTGACACTTCTCCATGTCCCCACCTCTGACCGTGCTGAGTTTGACACCAGCCTTTGGCCAAGTGCCACTCAGAGATGTGACCAGCATCTTCCTCATGGTTTGGCCCACTTTTTTTTCCTCACTTGATATCCCACTTCCTGGTTTTCCCCGGAGTGGGAAAAAAAACCCAAAACAACAAAAAGCAAAACAAACCCCCAAATGCAAAAGAACTTGACAGAGAGGAGCAGCTCGATTGCTGCTGTGTTCCATGTGCTGTGGAGTAGGAAGAGAAGGCATTAAAACAGGAGGTGCATCCCATCCCAAATGTTCCCAAGCTTCCATCCATGGAGCTGGGAAAACCCTCCTACTCAGCACCAGCCTGGCCAACACCAAGGGCTGGATCCTCGGCTGCTGCAGCGTTAAAAATCTCAGTGGGCTGGGAAATGTCAATAGTAAGGAGATAAAATATAAGCGGAGAGGGCCGCCCCATGGCAGCTGCTTTGCTGGGGGGTTTGCCGGGCTGATCCCTCTCCGTGCTGCTATTCCCAAGCCCGTGGGTGGGGCAGAGATTGGCAGCAGTGCCAGAGTCGTGCTGCCACCCGCCGTGCGGAGCCCGGAGTTACGCAACGGGATGGGAGACAGAGAAACACAACAGGCTCCAAGAAGGACCTGGATCCTGAGAGATTTGGGCAAGGATCCCTGGGATTCAGGAAGAAAAAGAAGGCAAAGGCAGATAAAAGCCTCTGTGGTGCCTGTCCCAGCAGGTGGGGGAGCCGCAGCACTGTAAGGAACAGAAGCACCACATTCTGCCTGTTTTGGGGAAGGGATGTGAGCTCCTTATGGGAGCTCTCTGGTGGATTCACCACCTTTCTCCTCTCCCTGTGGCCTGGAGCGTTTTGAGCTCCTCTTGCCCCACCTGCTCCTTGGCATGGCCTGTGTCACAGCTGGGAACTCCGCTGTGTCCCTGCGGCACATCCCTGCGGCACAGCACGTCCTCCCCGTGTGTGCCTGAGCACTGGGGAAAGTCCCCAGGCTGGAATGTGGCTGCTGGCACCCCCGGGAGCACAGCCACGTGCCAGCCCAGCCGCCTCCTCCAGAATCCCAACCAGAGCTCCGGGATCTGCACTGTGGCCGAGCAGGATTTTCCATCCCCAGTTCCTTCGTGAGCAGAGCCTGGCTATGGATGCTGCAAACCCCCTTCCTGCAGCACCTTGGGCCTCAGAAATTTAGCCATGACCTTGTAGGGAGCTAGGAAAGGAAAAGCCCAAGCTGCACAGACCTGCTGGGAAACTGGGATGTAGGTGAAGCTGAAATGCCTGTAATGAGGGAGCGCACGGATCCTGTTCCACAGCTCTGCACAGACACACGGCCCCTCATTAAATCCCACAAGGTGTGGGGAGCAGGGATGTGGTCCCTGCCCTCTCACTCGGGGTCAGAGCCCTTGGGGCAGCCAGGTGGGGCAAGGGGTGGGGTGGGTTTACCTGGAAGAAAAGGCTTTGCAGGTATCCCAGCCCCTCCATCCCGACTGGATGCACACGGAGATGGCAGCAGATCTGATACCCAGAATGTGCAATCTTCATTTCCCTCAACACACAGCTGGGATAAAGCCTTGGGAGCTCTTGCCTCCTGCATTTAGCTCAGCTACTCAGTTTTTTAGGTTTCTACAAATCCCTGCCTCTGCTACTTCCTCTGAATAGTGGGAATAATATTTACCAGCTCCCACTGCAAATCTGAAGGGTATGTGGCAACCCTCCTGGAGGAAGAACAGACTTCAAAGACACTTATAATAATGCACATTATCTTTACACCACATCTATAATTACAGCCAAGTACAGTCTGTCTTGAGAAACTGGAAAATCTCTCACATCTCAGGTTATTTCGTGCTTTAAAGCACTCCCAGCTCCAGCACGGGTCTGAAATCCAAGCAGGAGAAGCTTTGGGAAGGCTTTTGGATCTTTTTTTATCGTTATTAGTAGGAAAAGCAGGAGAAGCTTTGTTCAGGTGCCCAAACAGGATCCCCAGTGATCCTGCAGCCCATCATTATCTGCTCTTATCCAGCACTGTGAGTCAGCTACAGCTGAGCTGCTCTGAGCCTTATCCCAGAAGTCATGTCAGAGGAGAGGCTGGCACATCCAAAGGTCCCACTGGCCAGCTCAGCTCAGCTCAGCTGTCCCCAGCCAATTCAGCCCAGTCTGTGCCTGGTCCCTTCACTGGGGAGCAGTGTCACAGCCCTGGACCTTCTGGGATTGAGGGGTCGGAATGTGGGAATGTGCTGCAAGCCTAGAGCCAGCACAAACCAGCGGGGAATCAGAGCTGGACAAGGATCCCAGTGTCAGCTCCCAGGCACTGCTGGAGCAGAGGAGCCTGGGCTCCACCTCACCTGGCACCTCCATGCAGGACGGATGACTACTGGCTTTCCAAAGGTTTCCCACCTGGCTGAAAGCAGCACTTTGTTCCAATCCCCAAATTCTAACAGTCCCTCAAACCCACCCATCTCACAGACATACTCTGACATGGGTAGAACACTGGGATTTCATTCCTTAGAAACACCTGAATCATTCCTCTCCTCCTCCAGGAATTCCCAGTGCTCACTGTGTTTACCCTCTGCTGCAGTGCCAGCCCAGTTACCGAGCAGCATGTGGCTCTGGACACCAGCCCCTGAGCCACGTTCCCATTCAACCTGATCCTTCCCTCCTGGACAGGATTCCTGTGGTTTGGCACCTCGGGCAGTGCCTTCCCCCGGGGTTAACCAAGGCCCTGTGTCACACACACCCGTGCCAGGTGTGGCTGCTGGTCTTAGAGGGATCAGGAGCGAGGCAGGCTCACTTCCACCAGGGAATTCCCACCTCTTCCTCCCCAGCTCACCTTGTTCCCATCTTTCCTGGGTGCAGCTGTGAGTACTACGTGAACGACGCCCCGCGCCTGGTCCTGGACAAGCTGGAGAGCCTGGGCTACCGCGTGGTCAGCATGACCGGCGTGGGCCAGACCCTGGTCTGGTGCCTCCACAGGGAATAGCCAGGGAGAATCCTGCGCTCCACCCGGACAACATCCTGCTGGAGATCATCTTATAGGACTGGCAGCAAACTTTCCCCCCTTAATTCTTTCCTGTCCCAGACTCCAGGCACTCAGGCAGGGGGAGGAATGGCGCAGAGGCAGAGCTGGACCCAGTGGAATTTTGCCATCCCTGTTCCGTTTCCCAAGAGCAGGGGGAGGAAGGTATGCCCAGAATTTGGCAGAGGGAACAGATGGCTCCAGCTCTGCCTTGGGCGGGATGGCAGTCTGGCAAATTCCAGCTTTTTCACATTTTAATCATGTATTCAGCATGCCCTAGAGGAAGCTCAGTATCAGCCCCGTTTGCCTCCTCCTCAGGCTGCCCCAAAGAGCTCCATGCCTTCTCCTGGGCCAGGGGGTTAGGGAGGGACAGCAAGCATGGACACCATCCCATCTCATCCCTGAAATCCCAGAGGGAACCACTAAGCCTACTCTCAGTGCTCTGAGAATCCCTTCCCTTGGCAGCAAGGCCTGCTTCCATCTCAGCAGCACCACCAAACTTCCAGATCCCAGACTGACATCTAAGCCTAACATGGGACTCCCAAAATAACACAGAAAGTGTTGTTGTGTGACTATTGCAAGTGCAGGCTCTGATCCCAACACTGCTGAAATGTTTGGGACTGTGCATGGATTCTGCTGTGGGGGTAACACCAATAAAACATTGCTCCAAAGAGACCAATGTCCTCCTGTGGGTTGTTTAAAGCTGTTGCCAAATCCTTCTAGATGCACGGCTCCTGAACGAGCTTTCAGGAATTAAAAGCTCCAAGGTTTGGTGTTCTGATGGCACCTCTCACCCCTTGTCCCATGGGATGGGGCAGCTGCTCTGGGCACACACACTGACAGGGTAACACCTGCACTCTGTGAACCTCAGGCAGCCATTCCTTCCCCAAACCTGGACAGGGATAAGGGCTGCAGTCCCTGGGAGTTTCTATTCCCACAATACCTTTAGAAAAAAGGAGGTTTATTGACTTAAATAAAGAAACAGCTCTGAGGGGACAGAGGGGTGGGAAGAATCCATACTCTCATGCTAAGTGTGGGACTTTTCCTCCTGGTCTTCCCTCTGGAGCTGCTCGATGAGCTGCTGCCTCTCGGCCGCCTGGCGCATCCTCATCATCACCAGGCTCTCGTAGTCCCGCTCCGACACCACCGACGCCTGGAAGGAGCAGGAAACACACACAGCCTGTCAGGGACAGCACAGACTCCCAGACTTGCCCAAATCCCCCTCACAACACCAGCGTTCTAGGCAGAAAACGGTTTGATCCCACAGAAATTGGGTGAGGGGGGTGAAAGCTGCCTGGCTACAGCAAACAAGCAGGAATTGTTATTAAAATGATTATTAAAAATAACCAGCAATGAGTGTGGTTGGTGAGGAAAGCTGGACAGACATGGAGCCAGCATTCCACGAGGCTGGACGGGGCATTATTTTGAATGACAAGATCACCCTGCACCTACAACGTTGGTGCCCGAAGTCCAGCACACACTGCACACACTTCACCTGTTACAAAGGCTAATGCCATAAAAATCAAACCTTTGTGGATGACTCATGCAAGTGACTAACTTCCAACTGTCTGACAGTGCTGAGGCCTTGGCGCACGTTGCTCAGGGAAGCTGGGGCTGCCCCTGGATCTCTGGAAGTGTTCCAAGCCAGGTTGGACAGGACTTGGAACAACCTGGGATAGTGGAAAGTGTCCCTGCCCTGGGATAGACTTTAAGGTCCCTTCCCACCCAAACCATTCCACGATTCTAACAGCTGCAATCAATTACCTTGGAGGTCTTTTCCACCACAAACAACTCCACGATTCTAAGCAGCTGCAGAAAGAAAACCACCAGGGATGTTCCCAAACCTGACACAGGAATGGAACAGTTTTCCAAAGCTCCCAGAGCCTCCCTGCTGCATGTGGCAGCAACTGTCACGTCAAGGCAGTTGATTGCAGACTCTGCCTAATGAACGTGGGCAGCAGATGACAGCTGCTCCGGTGCTTTGGCGCTGCTTCCAAAGCCATTCCACACTAGTAGGTGGCCGTGCTATTTTGGATGTATGAAAGCACTGCAAGGCTTGGAAACATCCAGCTCATTTCCTTGACAGTTCAGGTGGAAATAAGAGTTTCTTGACAGAAGGTGAATGGAAAAAAACCCTTCGTATTCCCTTTTCTAGGAAGTGGGTTAAGTGGTGATCACAGAGAATCCCAGAATCCCAGAATAGTTTGGGCGGGAAGGGATCTCAAACATCATTTGGTTCCAACCTCGTGCTATGGGCAGGGACACTTTCCACCAGCCCAGGCTGCTCCAGCCTGGTTTTGGACAATTCCAGGGATGGGGCTGCCACAGCTTCTCCAGATATTGAAGGATTTCTTATGAAGCAGAAGGGATATAGAAGAGAATACAATAGAATGCCTAAATAAGTCTCTGCATGGAAACATGGGTGAGTGCAATTCCTTATCCTGTGCCAGCAAAGTGGTTCCTCCGGCTGTGAGGACACAATGAAAGCCCACAACAGATAAGGAACATCAAGAGGGAAATTAAGAGTCTAATTGGTGTCTTCGGAGACACCTGAGCAAAATGACCTTTGGGTACTGGCAGCAGCAGTGTCTGAGAAAGCACCGATGCTATCAGCCCTCAGCCGGGATCCTTCCAAGTCCCATCCACCAACCCCAGGAATTTGTGGGGCTGGATGGAAGAGCCTGCCTGACACTCATGCAGATGAATCACCCACACAAACCTGAAGCCCCACCTCACCCTGGGACTGAAATTTAAAAGAGCCAGGAGATTATTTGCAGCCTGGTTTGGGAGCTCTGCTGACACGAGGAGCCCTTGGAGCAGCGGGAGGAAGAACAGCCTGATCCAGGTGGGCTCCCAGCACGTGCTCCCGGCTGCCTGAGCGTGGGCTGAGGCTCCGCCACTCCACACACCTACTTCCTGCAATCCTGGCAATTACCAATGGAGTGAAACCCGGTTTCTGACTCAGCAAGGGCTTGGCTCAAAACAAACACATCCACGCAGGGAGCCGCAGCCCGGGAAGCAGCGACGGGTGGCACATGAAGGGACGGCAGCGGCAGCGCTGCGGAGTTTTGGCATTCTGGGTCCAACCTGGCTGAATTCCTGGACTCCTGGCTGAATTCCTGGACTTGCTTCTTCATCCTGCTCTCCGAGTGCTCCAGCAGCTTCTCCTCTCCGCTCCTGGACTCCGGGCTGCTCCAACACAGGGTGTAAGTCTCTCCTGCACTCCGTTCTCCCAGCACTGTCTCCCGCACTGTCGCTTTCTACATCCCCCTCCTCCCGTACTCCCTGGGTTCCTTCGGTGGGACTGAGTCACCGTCTCGTTCCCAGCCACCCACGGCGCTTTTCCGGCGGTGCCCCTCCGCACAAGGTGCCTGGTTACCATGGCACCCGAGTGCCCTTCTGTTCTAGATGCCAGATTAGATCTGTTCTCATGGTGACTGTGCCTCTGCTGTTCCCCACCAGCCCGGAGCCGCAGCACACGTTTAACGAGCTCGCTCACACGCCGCCGCTCCTCTCCACTCCAGGGGGAGACTCCTTCAGATCCAAGACAAGCCAAGTGCTCCTTGCCACGGCGTGGAGTTTGCATTTCCTGCACTACCAGCCTCTCTGTGTTCCTTGCAGCTCCGGGAACGGGGCAGGAAGAGGTCGATCCTGTTGCGTGGCTCTCTGCTGATCCCTGGGCTCCCGCCTGTGAGGAGTCAGCATTCCTGCTCCTCGCTGCCTTTCCTCACCATGGATACTTGGCGCAGGGGGTCCATCAAGTCCACCACCTTCTTCCGACGCTTCTCCCTCAGGAGGCACAAAAAGCTGGGCAACCAAGTCATCATCCTGAACCAGAACAGCCACACTCTGGACAAGGACGGCCAGAAGAGGGAATGCTTGAGGGATCTGAAGGACAAGTCCGAGTACCTGTCCTGTCAGAGCGAGCAGAACCTGGCCAAGGCACAAGCCCCTCCCAAGCCTCCCCGGCTGTACCTGGACAGTTCCAGCTGCCCCAACATCATCGACCACACAGATTCCCACTCTGACCTCTCCTTTTCTGATGCTGCTCCGTACCACAAAGCCACTCCGACGCATAAGGACCAAGCTACAGACCTCGGCACATCAGAGGCAGGTCTCCCAAACAGCACCACTCTTCCCGACCTGGCTGACCCCTTCCTGTCCTTCAAAGTGGATTTGGGGCTATCACTCCTCGAGGATGTGCTGCAGACCCTCAGGAAACAGAACCCGAGGGATTACGCCATTTGAAGGTACTCATTGTCCATCACATCCCAGTTACTCACTGCTGCTGCCAGTTCCTCCGATTCCAGCAGGAGGAAGGATACTGGAGCACGCCTGTTGTGTGTGGCCTGTTTTGTTGTCCTCGCCTTGCCCACCAGACCATCCCTGTCCTTGCCAAGGAATGCTCTGGAGCAGAGCTCACAGCTCTGTGCTCAGGTGAGAGCACTGTCTGCTGTCTCGTGGGCAACTTTCCGCTCTCCACCCCGGGAATCTCCCACTCCGGACTGCGCGTCCCATCCTCAGGGAAGACTGGCATTTTTTGGGAAAGACTTATTTTGGGGATGTGACACTGTGGGGCAGGGATTTGTCATGGATTGCTTGTGGAACAGCAGGTAGCCTGCAAGGAGGCAGCAGCACTGCACCCCAAAGCCAAAGCTTTGAGGGCTGAGAGACGGGAACTGGGGCTTCTCCTCCCACCATGTTTGGATGTGAAAGCTCAAAGCTGTTCCTCCGTTTTTTCTCTTCCTCCTTGTGGGTTTCTTTTCCCTTAACTCCAGTGCAGGTGGCACTCCCAGCCTGGAAACAGGTAAGCATCCAAGTAGGCTCCTGCTACAGCACCAGCAGTGGATTTATCCTCCTGGCAGGAGAAGAGAGGTCTCTGACACTGCTGCCTCACGCATGCACTGAGCTCCCAGCTGTACAGACATAGAAGAATAAATGTATCTGTGACTGGAAGTGTCTGGTTGCCTCATTTTATTGAGAACAAGCCACAGAAATCCCAGGCACCAGGAGCACAGGGTATCTGGAGTGGCCCAAGTCCATCCTCCCTGGCACTACAGGGTTTTATGATGGGGGAGGGACACCTGTGTGGCTCTGAGGGAAGGACAGAGCTGCTGGAACTTGATTTTCCTCTGAGGAGAGCTCACACAGCTCAGGGCAAGACAGGAACAGCTGCCCACCCTGAGCTGGACAGTGGGAAAGGCTCTGCCAGGCTGAGAACATTTTGGGCAGCACCAGAACAAACTGCTAAAAGAAACTACCAGTTCTTACCTTTTTGACTATTAGGGCTCTTTTAAAAAACAGCAATAATAAAACCCCTATGCCCCAGATCACCAGGAGCTTTGGAAGTGGCCACAGCAAAGTGCAGGGACACTCCAGGGAAGGCACAGCTGCCTCTTACCCTGCGAGATTCACCTCCCAAAGTTAAATAATTGGAAACAAACCCTCTGAAGGAGCTTAGAACAGGTACAAGAACTCCAGACAGGAGGCTTTTCTCAGGGCTGAATGTATAAGGAGCCCTGTCAGGGAGATTCCACTGCAGGAGCAGGGAAAGTCTTCCCAAAACTGAGCACTGCATGCTGTTGGAATGGCAAAACAAGCTCTCTACAGCCACTGTGTGCTTTGAACCATCACACAGCTACTGCTCTCAATAGCCTGGAGTGATACTGTCCAAGCCACAGCTTTTGAATTCCAAGTGGAACTGGAGCCTGCTTGGCTGCAGCAGCTCTCCAGGAACTGCTGGTCAACTGCACCTGTTGCTGTAGGAGACAACAAGGCTCTGGAAGATGAGCAGCTTCCACCTGGGAACTGCTCCCAAACCCCCTGGCTGGGGTCTGGCTGTCCTTTACCCATGGATTTTGGCACTCAGGTCCTGGCTGGCTCTCCCAGGCAGGGAGTACTGGCTGCCTGTCCCAGACAGGGAGCAGAGGATGAGTAGTGAGTGTGTTGCCATGAGAACGCTGCAGGCTCAGGCTGTTTCCTGAAGCAGAGCAGCAGAGGAGCTGCTTTTGCACAGAGTGGGAACAAAACGGGGGCGGATTCAGACAAAAACACAGGGGGGGAAGCGAATAGGAAGCAAGGGCAGCTTAAATCAGAATGAGGTAAGTGCAGCCTGGAAGCAAGAACGTGGAGCCTGCTGGCTGGGAAGTCAGCTGGGTGTGAAGGGAAGAGGCAGAGGGAACAGGGATCTGGGAGCTCACTCTGCACACTCTCGAACTGGAGGGCACAAGCTAAGTCAGCTGGAAGCAGAGCAGCCAAGAGGAACTGTAAACACGTTGCAGGTTTTAGAAGCATCCTAGTGGATGCAGCAGGAGGATTTGGGGAGGGTCTGGAGTGGGAACAAGGGACAACAGGAAAGAGAGCAGCTTGGAGATGCCAGGCTGCAGTTCAATCCCAGAAAGTGCAGCTCCTTACAGCTAAAAGCAGCAGAAAGGACAGCAAAGCACCAGCTGTGCAGCTCCTGGGCAGGATGCAGGTCCCTGGCAGCAGCTCCTCAGCATTCCCAGAGGCAGGTGGGATTGAGGAGGCTGTGCTGGGCACAGGTGAGTCACCAGCACTGTGTGCTGCTTTCCTGCTCTCCCTGCTGCCCCACCACACTAATCCTGCACCGCAGGCAGACGCTGCACTTCCACACTAACAAGCTCTGGGCATGGAGACGGGCCAAGACAAACTCAGGGATCTGAACCCACGGAGGCTGGAATCCACTGCCAAGCTCCAACTGCACCAGCAACCCCTTTGAGGAACGAGCCAGTTCTCACTCTCTGCTAGTGAGAAATTCTCAAATAACATGCTTTGGATTCTGATTTTTGCCCCAGTTCCCTTTCTAACACTCTGGTGAATCTCCTGTGGCTGCAGGACTCTCCCTGGTCCTGCATGGACAGGATAACAATCAGGGGTTTTGATGCATAATTACAAGTAATAGCAATAAAATACTTAATAAAGCATCAAGAGAATGAATGCACTGAACAATCTCACAAGCTTAAAATATTTAGGGAGTGAACACACAAAAGGGTATTTAGCTTGATATTGCTGTCTCCTCCCTCCTGCAGACCTCTAAGAATAGAGGTTTGCTTCCAGCACTAAAACTTCCTCCTCCTGGGAATGCAGTGAGCAACCATGGCTCTCCAAAGGAACCTTTCAGCAGCTGTCACTCAGAGGATTCCAACAGTCAAGAACATAGTCAAAAATCCCATCAGCATGGCACTGGAGGCTTTGGGCTGAGCAGGGAACAGCCTTGTTCTTCACTTGAGGGAAAGGGAATGTGTGAAGACCCAAACAGCTCCCAGTGTGCTGCTGCCCGGGCAGGAGGTCCTTTAGAAAGCCACTGATCCAGCACAGAAAGGGCTGCTGGGAAAGCCAGGCCTGGCCCCAAAAGCTTCCACCTGACAGCACTCTGAGATTTGGGTTGTTACAGCACCAGATTTCCCTCTCCTTACCTGTGAGCTCCTGGGCTGGCTGGTGCTGTCAGGGAGGACGGTGCTGGGGCGGCTCTGGGGCTGGCCCTCCAGCCAGGAAATCTTCAGGGGGTTATTTAGCAGGCCAACCTCATTCTTCACAGCCATCTCCTGGCAGGGAAAACACCCTTCCATCACCACCTGAATTTCAGACCCTCACGAGTCCATGAGAATCATGCTCCCATCTCAGAATGGCCTCAAGGCCAAGTAGGGCACAAACAAGACCTAACCCTGGAAGTGTCCAAGGCCAGGCTGGATGGGGCTTGGAGCAACCTGGGCTACTGGATGGTGTCCCTGCCCACGGCTGGGGGCTTGAAATGGATGGTCTTTTAAGGTCCCTTCAAATCCAAACCGTTCTATGATTCCACTCTGTAAGATTTTAAGGCTCTTTCCAACCCAAACCATTCCAGATTTCACAGCTGCCCTACATGAGAAGCACCTCTATGGTCCATACCCCTGCCAGCAATTTTGACATACGGGTCACACACAATTCTGGGGGGTTTTATCATTTGGATATGAGTGAAAGAAAAGCTAACAAGGAAACTCTCATACAGCCCAAGCTGATGGAACTACTAAAATTTAGGGTAACTGATGACTTCTGCTCCCACAGCCACATGAGTTATTATAACTCACAGTGAGTCAAGACATTTTGGGTTGTTTTTTACTGCAGATGCCTGGTATCACCTCCAAAGCACATAAGCCAAACTCCAAGGCATTTCACCTCCAGAGAGAGCTGAGTAAGAGCTCAGTGCCTGATTTCTAAGGCAGTGCCTCTTCCCTCAGCCTGTTCCATGCACAACCTGTTTATGTGCCTGATCTCTGGGTTTGTGCCTCCAGCTGTGCCACACCTTCCGTGCCTTTTGACTCTCATTACCCTTCTCCACTGCCTTAATGACAGGGCAGTGTCCTGGCTGTCACCTGTCCTGTGCCACCCCCAGCACACCCAGCAGGGGCTCTGCACACTCACAGCTGCCTTCACCGTGGCAAATTCCACCACTGCACTCCCAGTCTTCCTGCTGGAGATCAACAAATTGAGCACATCACCATACTGTGGGAAGAAAGAAAGGAAGGAAAGTTAATTACAGAGCCAGGAGAGATGTCAAGTTCAGTTATTAAATGAACACAAAGAGAAAACATGTGTTTTCACAGACATGAGGCTTGAGTTGTCACTATTTCTGCCCTGCTTCCACTGATCCCACCATTTCTGTCCCTCCAGGAAATAATCTGGGAAGGCATGGAGCTACACACTTGGCTCTCCAGTGCAAGAGGGCTGCTGAGCTCAGAGTCACAGCTCAGAGGGAAAAGAAAGATGCCAGACTGGGACTGATCAGATCAGAGGCTTGTCTGTGCCTGTCTCTGCACTTCCCACAGCAGGGATGTGGAGTGCTTGAAGTGAAGGATGGCTGCACCACAAGCACAGAGCCAGACCAAGTGGGCAGGAAGCATCCAGTGGGGAGAGTCTGCAGCTGCTCTTTCAGCCAGAGCTGTTAGCTGGGAAACAGCTCCCAGCTCAGGGATCAAAGGATCCAACTTGGTTCAAAGGTTGGATTTGATGATTGAAGAGATCTTTTCCAACCTTAATGACTCCACGATAATGCTGATGAGCTGTGAAAACTGCATAAGAAAGCTGAACAGGGAAGGAAATTAACCACTCCAGTTTATAGCATGGAGTGACAGGACACAGGGAATAACTTCAAACCAGCTGTTCAGATGAGATTACCTGTTCAGATTAGATTATTAGTATAAAATCCTTCCCTGTGCAGGTGCTGAGGCCCTGGCACAGGTTGCCCAGAGGAGCTGAGGCTGCCCCATCCCTGGAAGTGTCCACGGCCAGACTGGACAGGCCTTGGAGCAACTTGGTCTAGTGGAAAGTGTCTCTGCCTGTGGCAAGGGGTGGAACTGAATAATTTTTAAGGTCCCTTCCCACCCAAACCATTCCATGATCCTGCAATATGCACTATTCTTACAGCACTGGGATCAGGGGAAGACCCAGTAACACAAAGGGAAGAGTGTCAGACAGGACCTTCTGCAGGATCTGCAGCAGCACATCTTTGGAGTATCCCCCTCCAGTCTCATCTTCCTTCCTGCATTTCCACCTGAGCTGGAAACAAACGGCAGGAGTTAATTTTTCCCAGTTTTGGATGTGCTGCCTGCTCAGGCAGCTCCCACCCCCCTGCACATTCACCACGTCTGCTATTTCCAGCCACACTCCCAGGCCTGCCAAGACAGTGATCTCAGCATGGGAGTGAGCACAGGGAACAAACTGTTTGGGGAACAGGGAGAAACGCTGCTCACTGGAATAAAAAAAGATCGCATTTGAAAGGATGCTAATGGCTCTGCCAGGGTAATTAGCAGATGTTTCCCTGTGCTTAAAGCACAGACAACTCAATCCCAGGCTCAGAAATCTGGAGCAGACAAAGAAAAGGTGAGTGAGGAAGGAATTCTAACAGCAAGGACAGGAGCTGTTCACCTGATGATGCACATTCCATGGAGGAATTTCGTCTCCAGTATAAAAAAGGATGCGCCAGCTTAGCAGGGTTGAAATGTCCCTTCTGTTTTCCACCATGTTCTATCAGTTTTCACCAAAACACAGCTTTTTAAGGATGTCTTACCTTGAGCTTAGGAGTTATTTTGCCTTCTGCTCCATTTCTTTCCTGCTTGCCTAAAAACAAAAAAAAAAAAGGAAAGGACATGGGTGAAAATTCCTCAGCACTCTGCACCATTTTTTTTCCCCCTGAGAACATACATATGATGAAACACTTTGGGATTTCCAGTGGACCATTGCAGTCCCAAAAATCCCGTGCAACAGGAACTGCAGCACAGATTGAATACTCCATGGCAGCACTTTTCCCTTTTAGGAAGCACAGACTTGCCACGATCAAGGCCAGAAACAGGTCAGCAAAAACACAAGCAGCAGACATGCTCTGAGGCATTTTCCCCTGCAAGAAGGTTGGAAAAATTCAGGGTGGAGAGCTGCCAAAGAGCCCGAGGGCAGCTCCAGGAGGTCGCCATGCTCACCTCGGCTGTGCTGCTCCCTCTCCAGGCGGATCTGCTCCCTGACCAGCCTCTGCTGCTCCTCCAGCTGCCGGGAGCCCTCCTCACGCAGGCGGAGTATCTGCGGCACAGGGAACACAGCACGGGCACCTGAGGCACACAGCCACGGCTGGAATGTCACCTGGAGGCTTCCAAGGACAGCCTGGGCTTCATACCTATCTCCTGGGACACCCCTCCTGCCAGTGCCCTGGGACAGCTCCAAAAGGAGCAGCCTGGTCTGGTGGAAGGGGTCCCCGAGCGTGGCAAGGCTGGAACTGGATGGGCTTTAAGGCTCCTTCTCACTCAAACCATTCCAGGATTCTCTGATTCACAGAGCCTTTTGATCCCAAAGGTTAAAGCTTTCCAGAGATTATTGCTCTCCAGAGATTTTTTTTGCACCTCATCTCATGGGTTTCATCAGGAATGGAAATAATTCCAGCAATTCTTCTCAAAAATAGCAGAAGGAACTAAGAATTTATCCTTACTTCTTCTTCTAATGATCTCGTTATCCTGATCTCCTCCTCTTCATTCTCCTGGGACTGGGCTTCCCGTTCCCTGGCTTCAAGATCTGTAGAGAAAGAAACAAAATTAAAACAATCCAAAGAGAACTTGAGTTTTCCCTGCTGGCCAGAGGCAGATGGATAGATCACAAACTTGGCTGCAGCTACACCAATATGCTGACAGCTCTGCTGCCTCTCCTCTGGCCCCACACACCAAAGGAGCCTTAGCAATCCTCAACCCCCTAATTCTCACAGCAGGACCTAATTCCCTCCTTCCCAGAGCAGGACCACCCCAGCTATGGTTGTGGGAGGAGATTCCAGGTCTACTGGACTGTAATAGGGATGAAGAAACCACAGTCATCCCCCATGGACTGACCCCTGTGGAAGGAGAACTGCAAACAGCCAGCTAGGGGAGATCTCAGGAGAACATGAGGCTTTGATTTTCTCACCAAGCTTTACTTTCTTCCTCTTCTCATCGAGTTTCTGTGTCCTTGCTGCAGCCTCCTTCTTCGCCCTCCTCACCCTGTCATAGGCTGCCTGCCAAGGAACCAGCACAACAGTGGGAAACTACAGAAACCAGGAGAGAAACTGGAAAACAGGGAACACACAGGGACATCAGGGACTGCAACCCTGTCTGCAGGGCTGAAGCATCTGCTGATTCTTGGATGACAAGCTTTGCCAGTACCTGAGAAGAGGAGCTCATGTTTTTAGCTTCTATCACCTGGAATCAACAGTTTTCCCTTTCCTGAGGGAGTTCCTTGCTCATTTTTTGGTTTTATTCTTTCCAGGGACATTTCCAGGTTCTTTTAGGCCTTGGGCAGTAGGTTCTCAGCCACTTCCCCAGAGCCTCAGAAAGATCCAAGCTCTCCTGTGTCCCTCAGACAGCAAAGCTTGGAGCCTCAGGAACTGCATCCAGGTATTACTCATTTGTCAGCCCTGACTCAACAGGAATGGCAGATGTTGCCATGGGAATTTGGTGTTCCTGAATCAGGAGTGGTGTTATTAAATGGGATATGCCCCAGTCCAGCACGTTATTAAAGGCAGAATCTCAGGGCAGAGCTGCTCCCAGCAGCAAATCCCAAACACCACATTTCTCCAAGCTGTCACCTGAGATTTGATCTCATGGAGAAGCAGGGGGAATAACAGCTGAGATTTGTATTCATGGAGCCTCTGTGGGAGCAGAGAGCAGGACAGGCAGGATTACAGCTCCCAGCACCACCCCAAAATCCCACACTTGCCCAGGGAACATCCTTACCCTGGCTGCTGCATCTGTGAGCACGGCCAAGGCCTGGGACAGCTGGTGGAAAGTTTCCGCTGGGAACGAGAAGAAATAAGGGCAAGATGAGGGAAACCAGGTAAGGGACTGGGGAAGAACCAGGAAACACAATTCCTGCAGGAAGGTCTCTCCAAGGAACGAAAATCACCTCTCCAAGAGCTTTGTAAGCCAACCTCTAGCCAGGGCCACCTCAACTCAAAGGTCTTACACAAACTTGAGAGTAAATAAAGACAGAAAAAAACTGGAATCTTGGAATACACAAACTTAATTTTTCTTGCTGATTCTATTCACTTTGGATGGCAATATCTCCTTCATGCCACATTCAGCTGGAGCTTTACAATTTCCTTCTCCCTCTCAGTCCTTTTTCCTTCAACAAGAGGTCCTGTTTATGTTGTACTGGAAGTTGTTACATTACAGCCATCTATCCTTTAGAAGCCTTTCCTCTTGTCCCATTACAAGCATTGGCAAATTGTATTTATTTTTCAAAAAGATGAATTATTGCTCTTGACACAAAAGTACAAAGTAACTGCTAATTCTACAACCTCCAACCACAGCAATCCCTCGCTGCAGGCAGCTGAAATTCCCCCTTGCCCTGCCACAGATAAAAGGATTTATGGACTGCTGGTGAAGTTTGGACTGTGAGAGATACAGATCAAAGCAGTGTCCAAACAGGCAAAGGCTGGGAGGGTTTGGAGGGGCGCAGCTGTAATTCCAGCACTCCCTTGCTGCTGGTGTTTCCAAACCCAGCAGGGATCGTTCAGCCTTAAAAAATCAGAGTTAACACCAACAGGAGCAACTCCCAGCCCAGGGACACACACCCAGCCATTCCCCCAGCACTGAGGGAAGCAGAGCCACTTCCAGGAGAATGGAGAAGGGAAAACTGCAGCAGGAAGAGCTGCCCCAGCTCACCTGCCCGGGGGTTGTCGGGGTTCTTGTCGGGGTGGCAGGTGAGAGCCTTCTGCCGGAACGCTGTCTTCACCTGCAGGGGCCACACTGGGGGTTACTGGGGGAAAACTCCTTGCTCTCTGCCAAAAAAAAGCACCTTGGAAACCCAAAGTTATCCCTGTGTTCAAGGGTAAGATCAAAGCAGTGTCCAAACAGGCAAAGGCTGGGAGGGTTTGGAGGGGCGCAGCTGTAATTCCAGCACTCCCTTGCTGCTGGTGTTTCCAAACCCAGCAGGGATCGTTCAGCCTTAAAAAATCAGAGTTAACACCAACAGGAGCAACTCCCAGCCCAGGGACACACACCCAGCCATTCCCCCAGCACTGAGGGAAGCAGAGCCACTTCCAGGAGAATGGAGAAGGGAAAACTGCAGCAGGAAGAGCTGCCCCAGCTCACCTGCCCGGGGGTTGTCGGGGTTCTTGTCGGGGTGGCAGGTGAGAGCCTTCTGCCGGAACGCTGTCTTCACCTGCAGGGGCCACACTGGGGGTTACTGGGGGAAAACTCCTTGCTCTCTGCCAAAAAAAAGCACCTTGGAAACCCAAAATTATCCCTCTGTTCAAGGGTAACCCGCTGGGCACAGGGCATGGATGTGTCTGGGAGGAGCCGGAGCTTTTAAAAGCTGCTTTGGCTTCCAGGTGTCTTGTGCTGCAGCAGTTAAACCTCAGGTTAAAAAAATGGAGAGGGGGGAATAAAGGGGGAGAAGGACAAATGGGGAGAAGGAAAAAAAAAAGAGAGAGAAGAAAAAATATGGAGAAGAGGAAACAAAAGGACAGAGTGGGGAAAAGGGGAGGAAAAAAATATGGAGGAAGGAAACCAAAGAGGAGAAAGGAAAGGAAAAAGAGAGGGAGGAAAAAAGGGGGAGATGATAAAAAAAATGGGGGAAGGGAAAAAAAAACCAGAAGGAGAACCAAAAAGAGGGAAAGGCAACGAAAAAGGGGAAATGAAAGAAAGTAGGAAAGGAAAAGAAATGGGGGAAGGAAGAGAAGTGAAAAAGAAAAATGAAAGAGGTAAAGAGAACGAAAAATGGGGAAGTGAAGGGGGAAAAAGTGGAAAGGAAAACAAAAAGGGTGGGGGAGAAGGAAAACAAAAAGGGGGGGGAGAAAGAAAACAAAAAGTGGGGGGGAGAAGGAAAAAAGGAAGCCACTCTACCCCACTCCCAACCAATTCCCTGCTAGAACAAGTGGAAGAAGTTGTGTCCCGGCCCCACCTGGTGGACAAAGCTCCCGGGATTGGGAATGTGCAGGAAAAGCCCTGCAGATGACCCCACCTCCTGCATCCTCCAAGTTCCCATTTCAGCCAGGAATTCCCCCGCAGTGTCCCTCCCAACCCCGCTGTCTGGCAGGGGCAGCCATTCCCTTTTTATCCCGTTATTCCCGGGCCGAGCCCCTCTGCAGCTCTCCCCGAGCTTCCTTCCCGTGTTTAGCACTGACTAACCAATCAAACTCAATTCAAAACCGCCAACGAGTCATTCCAAGCCCACAAAATTAACTACGTGACTTTTGGGCGTTCGGACAGCAGGAATTTTGGACCAACACGGGAATTTCCCATAAACAAAGCGAGAACAACACGTCCCAGAACAACCCCGCAGTTCTCTCCTCCTCCACAGGCGGGTTCCGCCCCGCAGGATTGAGGGGTGAACCGGGGGAACGAGGCCAATTCCAGTAAAACCGGGATATGATAACACCAATATCAGCAAAAACCGGGATTTTCCCGTCCGACAGCCCCGGTCCCGCAGCAGCGCTTGGAGCAGCCCCTCAGCTCAGCGCCGCGCCGGGAGCCCGCCGCTCCCGAGGACCGGGAAAGGGATGGAGGGGAGAGAAGGAGCCCGCGCCCCTCACCTCCTTCTCGGACGCCTTCTCGCCGATCCCCAGCAGCCCGTAGAGGTCCCGCTCCAGCAGCTCCTTATCCACCGCCATCTTCGCGCTTCCCGGTTCCGCTCCTGGCGCCGCGGTCGCTGGGAAATGTAGTCCCCGCACGCCGCCTCACCACGAGCCACCCGGGAAGATTGGACTACAAGCACCGTGATGCACCACGCGGTTCAAGGGAACAACACCGTCTGGGCGCGCAGCGCCCTGCTGGGCATGCTGGGTGTTGTAGTTCTTTAGCGGCGGCTGAGAGCGGGGCTAAACTAGATGAAAACTACAAGTCCCATGGGGCCGTGCGCGGGCACCGAGGCCTTAGGGAACACGTGGGTCCTGCTGTCGCCCAAGGTCATGCTGACCGTGTCCCCAAATGCCACGGGCGGATCCACATCCACGCGCTAAATGCCTCCAGAGATGGCACTCCACCACCTCCTCGGGAAGTCGGTGGCAGTGGGGGGTGGTGGGAGCCCAGCCGCACCCTCTTCCCAAAAACATACTTATTTTTGTTGTCCCCAAAAAGCATCCATCTCAGCCCAAGGCACAGCTCCTTGGGAAATTCTTGTCTTCTTACTGATCTAAGATACCTCCCTTTCCCCACACTGCTCTAAGGAGGGAGCACTCTAGAAGAAAGCCTATCCAGTTATTTCCATGCACAGGAGACGGAATTTTTCAGCCCTTACTCCTTTATTTTAGCAGGATTTGTGTCCTCATGGCTGAAGGTTACTTAACCTGTTTTATCAACAATAGCAACAAACGTGAGACCAACCTGAGATCACGAAGAAAACTGGATAGCCACGATTCCAGCAAAATGAATTGTTTCAGGGAGCTGTTCTTAGCCAGTAGTGCAATAAACTGGAAGGTTCCTGGTGTGTCTCCATGGATCCTCACCCGAGCAGAGCCTCAGCTCTCAGGGTGCAGCCCCAAATCATTGTCAGCGTTGCTTCAATCCCTGCTCCACTGCCACCTCCTTCTTCTTGATGAGACTCCTGGAGTGGTTTGTGCTCAAAGGGAGCTTAAAGATCATCCACTTCCACCCCCTGCTATGGGCAGGGTCATCTTCCACTACCCCAGGCTGCTCCAAACCCTGTCCAACCTCACCTGCAGTGCTTCCAGGGATGGGGCAGCCACAGCTGCTCTGGGCTGCCTGTGCCAGGGTCTCACCTCTGAACAGGGAAGGATTTCTTCCCAGTATTCCACCTAAATCTCCCCTTTCCCATTTTGAAGCCATTCCCCTGGTCCTAACCCTGCTGAGTTGTAGCCCTGGCTGTGCTGAGGCCACCTGTGGCCATCATGGTGCCACCTTGGGCACCTTTTGTGGCCTCCCCTGAGGATCCCCTCTGGGTTCCCTTCCTGTGACACCTTCTTGCCCTACAAGACACAAAATTTATCCCCCGACGCCTGTCCCTAAACCCAAGCACAGCACCTCAGCCCTCCGGGGCTGTCCCACGCCTTTGTGACAGCGCCATCAGTGACGTCACAGCGGCCACGGGACATCACAGAAGCAGCACAGGGGGCCCAGAGCCGCAATCCCACGGGGAGACCCGTGGGATGCAAACACCGCTCTTCCAGCCCCACCACGGCCCCGCTGGTGAGGGGTGGGACAGCCCCGCCGGGACGGGGAGCCGCGGGCGTGCGGGGACAGGTACCTGCAGACAGACTCTGTGCCTCTTGCAGGGCGACATGTCATCGAGGGACGACACTCCGGAGCCGAGCACCTCTGCTGCCAGCGCCGGCCAGGCGGCCCCGGCCGCGCCGCGGGACGACAGCCGCGAGGAGGCCGCGTGCCCGGAGTGCCGGCACATCAGCACGGCGTGCTCCAGCTCCTGCCGGCACTGCTTCTGCCAGCTGTGCCTGTGGGACTGGAGCCTGGGCGAGGCCACGTGCCCGCGGTGCCAGCGGCCCACGCGCCACCCCTACCCCCAGCACGTGGCCCTGTACCACGAGGTGCAGGAGCGCGTCTACGACAGCAAGCGGAGGTGGCGAGGCCACTCCGCGCGGAGCTGCTCCGGCCACGTCGGGCCCTGGGAGAGGAGGTCACGGAGATCCGTGAGGTGGCCCCGCGATGGCCGCCGGCAGTCTCGGCACACCCGGGGCAGCGACTCCCCGAGGAGGAGGTGGTGGCAGCAGCAGAGAAGGGCTTGGGAGGACGCACCTGAGGAGGGGCAAACTCCGAGGTTTGAGTGGACCATCCCGGCCTCCTCGCAGGCACGGCGCTCCCAGCGCAGGTTCCGCAGGTCATGGAGCCAGCAGGAGCGGTCCCGGGGCCGCCGCGGGTGGAGCAGGGGCAGGGAGCGTTCCCGTGGCTGGGACATGTCCTCCAGGAGAGAGCAGGAGACCCAGACAGGCTCCCCCGAGCGCTCCGCACGACACAGGCGCTGGAGGAGCTGGAATGCTGATGGCAGACACACTCCAGGGTCCCAGCACGATGCCCCCTCAGAGAGGAGCGAGACAGGCCAGTCGGAAGACTCCGATTCCTCCGGACAGCAGCACACAAGGAGGCAAAGCCGGGGCAGATCCCAGAGGAGGGGCCAGAACTCCCAGGCAGGCTCCCAGAGAACGGTGCCCCACGCGCGCTCCACGAACCAGAGGCGCTGGAGGAGCTGGAGCGCTGCTGACAGACACACTGCAGGGCCCCAACATGACACCCCCCTGAGGAGGAGCGAGAGACGCCAGCGGGAAAACCGGGATTCCTCCAGGCAACCGCACGCGGCAAGGAGCAGAACCCGGGGCAGATCCTACAGAAGCCAGAACTCCCAGAGAACAGCGCGCCGCCACCACTCCACGGGTCAGAGGCAGTGGAGGAGCTGGAATGATGACCGGGAACGAGCTCCAAGGTCCCAGCGGAGCACCCCGGGCTCCTCAAGGAGGAGCCGGCACCAGCACAGGGACACATAGCCCACCCACCCTCCCAAAATGGGAATTGCCACGCTCAGGCTCAGCCCAGGGTGTCCAGGCAGGATTTGGTGATCTCCCATGATGGAGCCACCAGATCTCCCCTGGACATCCTGTTCCAGGGCTTGACTCGCTGCAAATAAACAAATGCCACTTGAGCCAGCACTCCCTTTCTCCTTGTTGTGTTTCTGCCACCTCAGGAGCCTCCACAGATCTTTTGGAGCATCCCACACCTTTGGGTTGCCCTCATGAGTTGCATCCTTTCCCTCTGTGAGCTCTCCCAGCATCATTGAGTGAATCTGTGGATCAGGGAGCTGAGGGGCTCTTCCTCTCTCCATTCCCTCACAGCCTTTCCATGACTGAACCTGACTTGGCCTTTTGCCTTTGCTTTCCCTTCAGTTTTATCCAGGGAAGCTTTGCTGGGAGAAGTTAGTACCCCTTAGCAGAAGTTAGTACCCCTCAGCATTTTTTCAGCAGAGCCACAGCTCAGTACAGGAATATTTTCCCCAAAAACCCACAGTGTGGCTGATACAAATATCAGTGCTGGAGGTGCCCAAGCCCAGCTCCAGGGCCAAAACTTGCCCTGAACTTCCCTCCCAGCTGTCATCCAGCCCCTGTCCCCAAATGCCAGCCTTTGGAATCACCTCACTAACCTGCAGTGTCCCATTGACCTCCAGTTTGGGGTGTCAGCATAGCTGATCATCCCCCTAGATGCACATTCAGCATGTGGGATGTGGATTTTGCCTATGGATACAGTCTCTGCTGGATGGAAGGAGCCTGGTCACACTGGATCCCTCTTGCACTGCAAGAAATAATTGGAAAAAAAGCCATAAAATTCAGAAAAAGGTGGGAAGCAGGAGCCTGGGCACACAGGAGGATCTCAATATCCACATCATGCTCTGGTAGAGCCACTCCTCTGCTTGATCAAGTTTATTTTTCTTCCACAGAAACCTGCTTTAAATGCACCTGGAATTCATTCATTTCCCCAAATATACTCAGAAGGTGGGCTCTTGTTACCTGGAGACCACACACAGCCTCAGGTGGGGGAAGCACTGCTCAGCACAGGAGGTGGCCACACACAGCACCAAAACTATCCTGGTAGTTTTCCCCCTAGATTTAATTTTTTCATTAAATACAAAACTTCTCCTCAGGTATAAGCTGATATTTATCTCCTGGAAAATCCTCTCCCTGCCTCTCTGAGCATGGTGCCAGGGACCTGGAAATGCTGGACATTCCCACTTGAACATACACAAATATTTCACCAGGAAAACCCTGGAAAAAATGCAGCATTCTGTGTGGATGGATGCTGGTGGCAGAACCACTACTTTAGGGTAACAACATAAGAAAATGCAGACAATTTCTGCTGAAGTAAAAAACAAAACAAAACCAAAAAAAGGATCTGGGAAAAGTGCAGAGGCTGGAAGTCTGAGGGGAGTGCTGCCCTCGGAGGTGTCTGTCCCAGAGCTGCCCAGCCTGGATTCAGGAGGTCTTTACAAACACGGGCACCTCTGCCAGGCTGGCAGAGTAATTCCTGAGCGTGGTGCCACCATCAAACACTCGGGCAGTGTTGGTGTCCAGCCAGAGGTGCCCCTCTCCTGGCAGGTAGATATCCCTCCACGTTTGTCCCTTTTCTGTTATTGGAGCAACCAGGACCTGCAGGGAGAAGAAAAAGAAGGAAAAAAAAAAAACTTCAGCAGAGGGAGGGTTAGCTAGGGTGTGTGTGTGGGGATGAGATGGTCATCAGGGAATCCTGGAATGATTTGGGTGGGAAGAGATCTTAAAAAGCATCAAGTCCCACCCCCTGCCATGGGCAGGGACACCTTCCACTAGCCCAGGTTGCTCCAAGCCCCATCCAACCTGCCCCTGGACACTTCCAGGGATGGGGCAGCCACAGCTTCTCTGGGCACCCTGTGCCAGGGCCTCAGAACCATCACTGGGAATTCCTTCCCAATCCCATTTATCCATGCCTTCTCTCAGTTTAGAACATTAATGCAGTGCAGTGACATTCCTTTGACTGGGATTGGGATCATCCCTGCCTGCAGCTGTCCCAAGATTCCATCCAATTCATATTTTTGAAAACCAGAACCAAAAAAACCCATCAGAAGTGTGTGTTTCTTGTAAAACCTCCTTCCCAGTGATAGAGCCAATGTAATCCCACCTTCAGGGAGCATTTTTCCCCTTGTTTCATGGGAAAAGCAGTTCCCAACATTCTGAGACTCTTTATTCCTGCTGAATAATTTAACTTCCAAATCTGATAGAGGGTTTCGCGGCCCTAAATAAGAGTTTCATGAGGAAAGCCAAGCTTTTCCAAAAAAGCAAAAACCCCCAAACCCACAAATCTCAGCTGCTTTGGCTTGGATTTAAATCTGCTCAAATCCAGGTCCTGGTCTGTACTTGGGCAGCACTGGATTTACAGGAATAATGCAGAATTCCCACCTCATCTCCAATGAGAAACTCATCCTCTATGGTGAATGCAGCTGGATCCGTGGGGCTGAGCCACCAGGCAGGACGGAAGATGGGGTATCCCAAACTCTGCCACTCCTCGCTGTATTTTAGGAGCAGGGGCACGACAAAGTCCCGGTGCCTCTGGATGCACTGGCGGGTCAGATTCAGGACCTGCAGGTGGGGGACAAATCCATGAGGAGCCCAACATCCAAGAAACAGCAAAACAGGGAAGGCAGAAAAAAAAAAAAACCCCAAAAAAACCCCAAAGCTAAATAAAAAAAAAATTAAAAGTAAAATATGTGTTCCCTTGGGAAGAGAAACCAACATCCAAGAAACAGCAAAACAGGGAAGGCAGAAAAAAAAAAACCCCAAAAAAACAAAGCTAAATAATAAAAAAATTAAAAGTAAAACATGAGTTCCCTTGGGAAGAGAAATTACTGAATTGGAATGTCCTGATCAAATTATGGTGCAAGTGGGGTTGATATTGGATATTAATTGATTTGGATATAAATTGATACGGATATTAATTGGATTAATTTGATATATTGTATATATTTGGATATTAATTGATTTGCATATAAATCCATTGGTAATACATTTAAATCCATTGATAATGGATCCATTAAAACAATTGGACTTAAATGACTAAATCCATTGGTAATTGTTATAAATCACCTGGATTTAAATCTCTTGATAGCAGATATGAACACATTGGATTGGAAAAGATTTAAATCTGTTGTTAATGAATTTTAATCCATTGGATTTAATTTTATTTAATACACAAAAAATAGTTGTGGATCCATTGGATTTCAGTGGATTTAAATACACTGATAATAGATATTAATCTATTAGATTAAAATGTATTTCTGTCCAGTTATATTGAACATAAATCTATTAGATTTAAATGTATTTCAGTTGATTTATATTGAACACGAATCCATTGGATATAAATGGATTTAAGTCTATTGATAATGGATATAAACCCATTGGATTTAAATAGATTGAAACCCATTGAGAACAGATTTGGGTCCATTGGATTTAAGTGAATTTACATCCATTGACAATGCATACAAACCCATGGATTTAAATGCATTTACATCTATCGATAATGGATAGTAATTAATTGTATTTAAATGGATTTACATCCATTAATAAAGGACCTTAATCAATTTGATTTAAATTCCACTGATAATGCATATGAATCTACTAAATTGAAATATAATTAATTCCATTGATAACGGACACAAATCCATTGGGTTTAAATCCATTGGCACTTAAATCTAAACCCATTGATAACGGGTTTATTCCCACTTCAGTGGAAAGCTGAGGACAGCAGCTGGCACGAGATCCCTGCCAGGCCTTCCATGGCTTTTGGGGGCATTGGCCATGTCAGAATCCCGGTGTCCTCCCCTCTGGAGCTGGGATACGTACCCAGGTGTCACAGCAGAGCCAGGGCGGGGTCCCAAAGGCCATCACGGGCAGGAATGTCACAATCTGCAGCCACCTCACAAACAGCTCCGGGTCCCCTGGGGTGGCTCCAGCCACGCTCCCTCCTGCAGGAACACCGGGCTGGAGTGAGGGCCCCCCATGGCATGGAAAGGTCCTGGGGAAACCTCAGAGCTCCTCCCAGTGCCTAAAGCATCACCATCACTCTGAAAACCTGGCACAGCTTCCCTGGAAATGGGACAAACCCCCCAGCACCGAGGGCTCACCCAGCCATCCACAAATTCCTGTTTCCTCCAGAGGCTTTTCCCAGCTCTGCAGCTCCCAGGCTGTTGGGACACAACCTCCTGCCCAGTTCTCTCTGTGCAGGAAGATCTGCACTCCCACCCACACCAGCCAAGGGCTCCAGCACCTCTTTGGGAAGCAAACTCCCATGCTGGGATTGCTTGAGCCTCATTTTCTAAGGAAAACAGGCTAAAAATAAAGGCCAGATTTAAATGTTGCTCTCAACCCCTATTTCAGGGCTGTTGTTTAGCTCAGCTCTCCACGTTTGACACTTCTGCACAGCCCCTGCACACTCAGGGCATGTTTTAACCACCACTAACTCCATCACCTCCAGGAAAAAGGGAAATGGATCCACTTGGCCCTGATTAAAGGTTGTTTCTTGCCCTTTTATAATGCTTTTATTTCAGGATTTCTGCAGCCATTTTGCTGTGGAGCAGACCTGCTGGGGTTTTAGGAACATCCATTCCCCAGCCAGGAGCCCAGGGATGCAGATCCTGCCTGTGCTGGGTGAGATTTATCCCAAGCCAAGCCCCACAGGGGTGGGCTGTGGTGGAACTCTGAGAAGGGCATCCCCAGAGACCTGGCTGCTGCTGGAGCTGCCTGGCAATATTTACAGCATATTCTTTTGGTTTTAACTCCTCCTTTTTTTTTTTTTTTTTTTTTTTTTCCTGGTAACATTCATCCCAATCAAGCCAGCACAACAGAAAACTGGGGAGCAAAATGTTCCAAGCCTTCCCACACTACACCTAAGGTGCAAATGTACCTCCTGTGCCTGGAAAAAGGCTGCAAAATTCACTGCAGAGAAGCCAGAAATAGGGAACAAAATAGAAAACCAATCCTTACCTACTGCATCAGGGATGAAGAAGTTGTAGCCCAGGAGGCTGTAGTGCAGCACGGAGGGGATGAGCCCCTTCAGCCCGGCGTGGCTCCAGTCAGAGCGCAGGGGGCTCATCTGGACAAACAGCGGGAGGTGACTGGATCTGGAGAAACCACACAAACCATTCCAGGTGAAATTCCATGATGCCCAGTTGGCTTTGGAGTCACTGGGGCCAGATTATTGTCCCAGAATGGTTTGGGTGGGAAGAGACATTAAAAATCCCATCCAGTGCCACTCCCAGGGACACCTTCCACTATCCCAGGCTGCTCCAAGCCCCATCCAAGCTGGCCTTGGACGCTTCCAGGGGTGGGGCAGCCACACTTCTCTGGGCACCCTGTGCCAGGGCTGCACTATGCTCAGATCCCACAAGAATCGTTGACTCCAACACGCTGCCCTAGCCCACTTCCTCACCACTTCACTTCCCTGGGTGCCAAGAAACATCTGGGAACACCAAGAATGCATTCCAAGCACCACTTCCTGCTTCCCCCAGAAGCTCTTGTGCCCGTCAGCTGCAGCGAGGCCTCTCCCTGGTGCCCACCTGCTCCCGGCGCTGATGATGGTGCCATTGCCCAGCGTCGCCAGCGCCGCCGCCAGCGCCTCGGTGTATCCATCTCCCTCCAGCCCGGCGGGAGCAGGGACATCCTGCTCCAGGAAGGAATTGCCCTCCACTCCCTCGAAGGCCACGTAGGTGGCCCCCAGCGCCTGCCGCAGGCGCCGGGCACGAGCCAGGTACCAGCCCAGCGCTGCCTCGCTGGTGGCGTTCAGGCGGGCACAGAGCTGCCCCTTCCAGGTGGTCAGCAGCGGGATCTGTGGAGGGGAAGGATGGAAATCCCTGTCAGATCCATAGAATGTCCGGGCTGCAAGGCTGGGGGATGCCATGCTGCCCCCATCCCACGCTGCACTGTCATGGTGCAGCCCATCAAGGTGTAAACTCTCCCTCAACCCCCCAAAAATCCCTGAACTGGTGGCAAAAGGATCATTAAAATGACCACACAAAGTGGAGCTGGGGAATCTTCTCAAGACTGGAAGTGGAAATTTTAAAGTTTCTTCCGTAGGAACGAGGAGGGACTCTGCTTCACCCAGCACTGCTGTGTCCCAGCACAGTGGGATCGGGCTGTGTCCCTTGATAAAATAATAAACCTGAGTGGGTTTATTCTGGTTTGGGGGCTGAGGGGGTCCCGTACCGAGCTGGCCCCGGGTCGGGGCTGGCGGCTGAGCCAGTATCCCGTGGCCTCGCCGCCACGCAGGGAGCGCAGGAAGAGCGGGGAGGTGACACCAGCGTACGGGGACAGCGTGATGGAGAGCTCCAGAGGTTCCACCAGCGCCGGGGCCTGCCTCCTCCTGCGCTCCGAGGGCACGAGGTCCTGCGGGCGGGAAGGGCGGGAATGAGGGCTTTGTGGGAGAGGAGCACCACGCTCCCCACGTGCCCCGAGGGTGGCAGGACGGCCGTACCGCGGCGGCGAGGACGGCGGTGCCGCGCTCCCCCAGGGCCACGACGCCTTCCTGAAGGCGATGGCGCCTCAGCCTCCTCACCAGCGACCTCAGGCCTCGCTTGATTTTGGCGGCAGAACCCTCCGGGCCGTGGTAGCGCCATATCGGAGACCTGCAGGGGGGGAAATCCCTCATGAGGTGCTTGGGAGAGCCAGCAGGACATTGGGGAGGGTTCCCACGGCCGGGGCAAGGAGCGCTCACCGCAGGAGCGCGGTGTCTGGCAGTGTCCGAGCTGCTCCGGCCGGAGCGCCGGCCCTGTGCCGGCGGGCGGCCGCCACGTCGGCGCTGACACAGAGCTGGTAGTGCAGGGGCTCCGCTCGCCCCGCCGGCGTCTCCAGGCAGAACTGCCGCTGGCTCTCCAGAGACAGGAGCAGGGACACGTCGGGAGCCACTGTCACAGTCACTCCTTTGGGGGAAAAGTGGGAAAACGGTGTCTCGGCAAGCACCCGCCTGCTCCCGGTCCTGGGAGCTGCAGGGATGAGCAGGGCAGAGCCTGGCTGCTGCCAAGGTTGATCCCACCACAGATCCAGCCGTGCCAACCATCCCCCTCCCTGCTCCACCCTGTAGATCCCAAAATGCCTTTCAAGGGCTGGATTTCTCCCTTTCCCGGCCTATTTGTTCAGCATTCAGCGGCCTCAGCACTGCAGGGCAGCTGCAGGTCAATTGGATTAATTTGGGGTAATACCTGAAGTTTGGTGTTCTGCAGAAAAATCCAAATATACCCCAAAAAATGACACCAGCAGCTGAACTCCTGCCTGAACGCAGCATCCCACAGCAGCATCAGGGAGCCACAAAACCACTCGAGTAGAGCTGGGATGCAGCAATGGGCACAGATCTGGGCTTAAAAACAAACCAGGCACAACAAGAGCACGGGATGTCCCAGGAGTGACTTGGGCCACCCCATCCTCAGGCACTCAGCTTCAGCATCAGCTTTCCCACGGGGATGAGGTGGTGTGGGATCCATCCCACTTTCCCCGTTGCTGCTACACTTGCAGGACATTTTATTCCCGCAGACATCTGTGCTGCCCTTAAACCAGCCGCTTTAGAGGTGAGGAGAGGAGCACAGGGATTGAAGCTGTTGGATCCTCAGAGTTTGAGAATCTGGGCTTTTTGGTGAAACACCCAGAAAACAGGGACTAAGGGTTATTCCCACTGGGATTTAGGATCACTGTCCCCTAAGAGAGCCTTCCATCACCTCAATGGCACCAGTGGCCTGAAGGTGACACATCCTCCCTCCCAAGGTACAGCTTCCCTCTTTCCGGAAGCTGATAGCAGGAATTTCCCTCAAGAGATTCAGTTTGGAGATTTGGGCACTTCTCATAGGCCTGACAGGGCCCTGGGATGAGGGACATTCCCATCCTTGACCTGCCTCCTGCCAGAAATCATCAGTTTTCACTTCAAAGCTCCTCAAACTTTCCCCTTTCTGCCAAATCGAGGGATCAGCAGGACTTAGCGTCCTCGTGACTCCCCAGGCAGGATGGGCTTCCCCGAAAGCCCAGAGATCTGGGGCCGTGAAGGGGGCCTGGGCTGGCAGAGGGGGACCCAGAGACCCCCCCACTCAACCAACCCCACGTTTATTCCCAATCCCAAGGCTTCGGAGCCTCCTGGAGTCCTGAGCTCGGGGGCGCAGAGAGGTTAAGTCTCTCCAAGGGGTGGGGAGAGGACATGTAAATTATTAAAGTGGAAACCCTGGAGGCTTGGAATAGCTGTACCAGGTGTCAGCTGAACTCGTTACACCAGCTGGGAAAGAGGGAAAACAGTCTGTTCTGAACTCAGATTTCGCTGGATCATATTTTCCAATGGTTTGGGTTTTTTTTTTTTAAAAGTGGGGGAAAACCAATTCTGTCTCACTCATCCTCTCAAACGCCTCACACCAATGTCAGTGGAGGAGACCGAGGGTTTGTGTTCAGGCAACACCTTCCACCCACCCAGAACGGTGCCAACAGGTGATTTATGGCTAAAGGGGAACAATCCTCCATCCCAGAGAATCCCATCCCGCTTCCCTCCCTGTTCTGAGGGCTCCCCACAGCTGGACACCCTGCTCTGACAGCATGTCTCCTTCCCCTCCTAAGGCTCCTTCCCAGAGTCTGCTTTTATTTAACTGAGTGAGAAAGCAGGGAATGGTACCAAAAATGTTTGCAGCGGCGGACACGGATTATTCCCATCCCACGGGAGCTGCCCATTGTGTCTGTGTTGGAAGAGGCTCTCGCCAGCATTGTCATCTCCAGTGGGTATTTACTCCGTCTCCATATAAACACAGCGCTCCCACCCGGGCTCACCACCGCAGCATTTTGGGGCTCATGCTTCCAAAAGGTTTTCCCCACCCGGCATTGTAACCCATAACGGGGATGATGGGCAGCCCAGAGCCGCCCTCGCTGGATCCCAAAGGCTCGGGGCCGGGCGGAGGGGTCCCCGTTACCTTCAGGGTCACGTCGGGGCGCAGCGGGGTCCAGCGGACGCCGTAGCACTCCGTCCCGGGGGCTGCCGGCGGCTCCAGGGACAGCCGGAGCTCGGCGTCCTCCTCCCAGGCATAGCAGAACTGGCCTCCGTCGTGCCAGCAGCGGTCTCGGGGCGGCGGGGGCTCGGCGGCCGGCACGCTGCCCACGGCGATGGCCAGCACGGGCCGGCCGGCCGGCAGCGCCCGCAGCAGCAGCGCCCCGCGGCCGCGCTCCCACAGCATCCCCGCGTCCCGGCCCCGCAGCACCCACTCCTCCGGGGGCTGCTCCAGCGCCTGCCACGAGATGATGCCGATGGTCATGGCGAAGAAGACGGCCACGCCGAGGCAGCCCACGGCGCCTTTCCAGGGCTCCGTCATCTCCCTGAAGCCCAGGGTCCAGGTGGACTCCGGGATTTGGCCGGTGTGGCGGGAGAGGGGCATGGTGCGAGCGCAGGGATGCGGCGGCTCCGCTGTTCTCCCCTCCTGCAGCGGCACGGGAAAGAAAACCCTCTGGGATAGCTCCAAAAGATCTTCTGGGATAGCTCCAAAAGATCCTCTGGGATAGCTCCAAAAGATCCTCTGGGATAGCTCCAAAAACACGCACCAAAAACGAATTAATATAATGTAAATATAATTAAAGAGTAAAAATAGTTTAAAAGAGGGAAAGCTGCCCCTCGGTTCTCTCTGCGCTGATCCCGAGGTAAGGGGAGTCCCTTCCACAGCTCCTCCACAGCAAATCCCACTGCTGGGCTCAGTGACGGTGGCTCAGCCCCCAAAGCCCAGCCAGCAGCAGCCAGTGACACCGAGGAAGACGAGGAGGAGGTGTCACACGTGGCCCAGAGCCCGGGAGGAGATGGGGCCATGGACAATGGGAATTGGGGCCGTGCTCCAGCCTCCGCTGCTCTGTGGGGTTTGGCATCGCTGCCCTGCTCGGTTTGGAAGCAGCAGCAAAGAGCCAGGGGTACAGGAAAACATCCCAGGGTGGGTCCAGAAGGAAGGAGGATGTTGCATCCTCTCCTTTCTCCTCTCTCTTTTCCCTGGAAAAGCGTCTGGGTGATGCACAGAGCAAAACTGCCCCTGGGAATGGTCTGGGCGCTGGCTGAGCCCAAGGGAATGGCAATACTCTTCCTCCAGGTGAGGGGTCACCTGTGGGGACAGCTTCATGGCTTGGCATGAGCTTGTCCCTGTATCCCAGGCCCCATCCCACTGCCCAATGGCCGGCTGGGAATGGTGCCACCTCCCCTGGCACAGCACAGCCACCCCTACACCCCCTGTCACCTCTTACCTAAAAGCAGTTCTGGAGATGCTGTCACAGCCCCCAAAGTGTCCTCGATGTTTTTCCCAGCGGTTTTCCCACCACGAGCAGGTTTTCCTCCTCTTTCCCAGGGCAGTTTTCCCTGCTGGCCGCGTCTCAGACCCGCGGAGCCGAAGGAACTTGATCCAGACTAACGCAGGAGCGTTACTTAAGCCAAGCTCCCTCCCTCCCTCTGTCCCTCCCGCCCGCTCCCCTGCAGCCCGCACGTAGCCACAGGTGGCTGCATCCCCAGCAGGGGCAGGACAGTAAAAATATTCCTTTTTAAAGGCTTTTACCTATAAGGTAATAGGAGCCACAGGTGGCTGCATCCCCAGCAGGGGCAGGACAGTAAAAATATTCCTTTTTAAAGGCTTTTATCTACAAGGGAGTAGTTTTAAAGGGTTTTTTTTTGCCAGCTTGCTGAGGTGGCTCCAGTTGAGTCTTTGCCCCACGCCTGTGAATCCACACGTGAAGCCCTGGCAGTGCTGAGCCTCCTCGTTCTCCTGCTTTGGCTTTTGTTGCTGTTATTATCCAGTTTTGGGGGATTTAATTCCTGTTCCTACTTCACATGAGCCACTGGACCCTCCCTTAGATTAACTGCAGGGCTGCAGCTGAGGGTGCTGCCTGCACCCAAAACCACAGGGAAGCCACTTCCCAGGACACTTGCAATCCCCACCGGTGCAAAAATCTGGAAATCTGAGATTTCCATTGACTTTTCCATGCTCCAGTCCCCATTCACAGCCATCTCACCATATCTACAAGTCATCAGGGAATACCTGCATTTTCCAAGTGGTATTACAACCTGTTGGCTGCCAAGATATAAAAAACTTGGTATTTAAAAATGTTTCCCCATCCTGCATCCAGGCAAAACCCCAGCAATGCCAAGGCAAAGTTCTTCTGTTCATCCCAGACTTCAGGAGAGTCCCAGAACCAGCCAAATCCACCAGGAAAATTCTCATCTGTGGCCTAAATAAGCCCCTGGAGGGGGGCTTTCCTCTCCAGGATTAATTTTTCATTGCAGGTGGGACAACATCCAGCATTGGATGGAGGGAGAAATGGTGGATTTTGTCAGGACAAGAAGGAGCTCCAGAGTGGGAGAGGAGGTGGATCCAGGATGAGGAGAAAGGATGAAAAGAGCTCAGATATGAGCCAGAAGGCTGTGATGTCCATCTCAAATGGGCTGGGGATCCCCTGGGAATGGAATCAGGAGAGGTTATAGCAAAGCTGTAGGTGATGGACTCATGGGACCCCAAATCTACATAAAATAAAGGGAATTTTTTTTTAAAGTAAGGAAGGAGAAGTATTCCTTCCACCATGGGTATTAGAGGCACTTGAGGGGCCCAACACTCCCCATGGCCTGGAAAGGGGGAAGAAGGAGAAGAGAATAAATCCTGAGGTGATTCAGAGCTGCTCACCCACAAGCCCATGGAATTGCTTGTGAGGCTTTACAGATCCATGTGCCTCGGGGAGAGCTCAGCTTGGCTGCAAAACCTCCAGAAACAGGGCAGAGGAGGGAAAAAAAGGATCTTTTGGGATGGTCTTGGATCCTGGTACACTGAGAAGGTTTAATGCTTTGTCTAAGGAAGAGGAAGGGACGTGGCAGCAGCGCCCAAAAGATGCCCAATGACTGGCAATTCCCTGTTTCCCACCACAAAATGGGCTGGGAGGGGGGCAGCTGATGAGGTTGTTTGGCTGCAGCAGCTGAAGGCAAAGCTCTGTCACATGGCACAAGATTAAATCACATCCATGGAATGGCAGAGGGGCCCCCAAGGTGGGATTAGGGAAAGCCCGCGTCCGGTGCCACGGGTGCAGTGGGATAAGCAGGGCCAGGGGGCCGTGCCTAGGAGGGATAGCAGGAAGTGGGGGTGGTTTGAAAAACCTTTTCTTAAAAAGCAGCTCAAATCCCAGAGAAAAATCCTGCTGGAGCTTTTAACAACTCCATATTTGGCCGAGTTTAGGCACCCCCAACTCTGCACGTGGCCTGAGGGTTTGGGCCAAGCCCGCTCCCACCCTTCCAGAACTCCTGGTTTTTGGGAGGAGGAATGGTTCTGTGAGTTTTCCTGCCCATCACAAATCTCAGCATGAACTGGCTCCCACGAGCAGAGTGAAACCTCCCCTCATCTTCCTCCCACTGCCAACAAAAACCACTTAGCTTCAACTGGCCACAGGGAAAAAAAATATTTCGGGGTGGCTCCCTGGATTCCAGAAGGGTGTCCTTCCCCTCTGCTTCCAGAGGGTTTAAAAAAAAACAAAAAACAAAAAAACATTTTAAAATCTCCTCCTATGCAGAATGGAGCATCTTTTCCCTTCTCATGACTTTTCAGGGTTGAAAAGACCTTGAAATTGCTTTCCTATATCCCATGGGGCTTTCCAGGCTCCAAGGTTGCTGAGGAACCTTGATGTGGTGGCAGGTGTCCCTTCCCATGGCAGGGAGTTGGAACTGGATGGGCTTTAAGCCCCTTCCAACCCAAACCATTCCAGGACTGAGGGATTTGCCAAGGCTCCAGGTTTGCTGGGCTCTGTGGGATATGGACAATGGGTGGACAATGCCCAGGGAAGGGCTGGAGTGGGAGGCTGGGAACACGTTGAACTCACCAGCATCCATAAGCAGAGTTTGAGAATCTGGGCTTTTTGGTGAAACACCCAGAAAACAGGGACTAAGGGTTATTCCCACTGGGATTTAGGATCACTGTCCCCTAAGAGAGCCTTCCATCACTACAAACCCTGTGGATCACACTCCTTTCCAGAGTTGTGTCCTCACCTTGCAGGCTGGCTGGAAAAAGGGAGAGTGCAGAGAGCCACAGGGATTCTCCACTTTTGTGGGGTTGCACTTGGGAAGGCACAGCCCTTTCCATCAATATTTTCCTACAGCCTTTAAGCACCAGCAATTAAAACCACAGCTTCCCAGCCAGACCCTCCTGGGGTTTCTGGTTTGGGATTTCTTAAATATTATTATTTAGAAAAAAAAATACAGGAAAGGTGTGTGGGTTGGCCAAGAGCAAAGGAAAACTGGTGTGAGCAGCAAACTGCCTCCAGACTTGGCATTTCTCCTCCATTTTCCCCAGTGGGAAGCAGCCTCACCCCAAAACTTTCCATATGGGGATGGATTCCACAGCACCTCAAAAGCCTACACCAAACTCTCATTTTTATCCATTTATCCATGATGTCTCTAAGCTGGTAGACACAGTGATGAGCCAGAGTGGATTCCCTGAAGCTGGCAGCATGGATGGACATAGATGTCCCACCTTCCTGCCCTCCCAGAGTTTATCCAAAGGGAAAAGATACCTTCAGAATCCATCCTGGGAATAAACCAGCTGATGTGCCATGGTGGGTGTTCTCCTCAGATTTTCCTTCCCCTTGCAGTTCCCAGCCTTGCCTTTCAGGGCCAGCAAAAGCCTTTGGCTGTGCTGGAATTCTCCGTGCCTTAGAGAGCTTCGGGCTCCTTATTGGAGCTGAGCTCAGTTTAAAAGGAAAAAAAAAGAAAGCAAAATGAGTGATCTGGTTCCTAAATTCCCAAAATCTCAGCCCACATTTCCTCCTGGAAAGCAATCCCAGATTTCCATGAACTCCACAGCTATTTATAAAGGAAAAAACAAGCAGCAGGACTTGCACTGACAACGTGGCCTTATAAACAGCATCAGCCCTTGGAAGCGACCACTGTCCCTTCCCATCCCAGCTGTGTGTCCTGAGCCAGGAATGCCTGGATTTGGGAGCTCCTTGAGTCCATCCACAGCCCACCTGGGTTTTCAGGAGGGTCTCATGGCAAGCAGCAGATTTTGGGCTGGGGAACAGCCTGGAGCACCTGAAATAATCCATGGACAGATAATTTTCCAGCTGGAAAGTCGCCAGCTCCAGCTGCCAGTTTTGGGATGGAAAAAGCCCCTGTGTGCCCTTTGCCCCCCTTTTCCCTTCAGGCAAAGGCTGATATTTTGGGGACAGCAGACCCAAGTTCCTAAAGCACAATATTCTGTAAAATTTCTAATCTGGACAGAGAGGAGCCCCCTGTGCTGAGGAAAACCCCCCTGAAGGGGCACTCACCCCCCTGCACCCCCACGGCCAGCCCAGGTACCTCAAATCCAGGGAATGTTGCAGCACCCAGCCAGCCTCAGTGTTCCTGCTCTGAGCTCAAATCCCTCAGAGCAGGGCGAGGCTGCTGATTTGGGATCTCTGAAGGCAGCACCTGCTTGGAAAGGGCTGTTGGCAATTCCACTGTCCCCACCACTCCCAGGAGCTGTGGTGAGCCCAGACCCATGTGCTGCTCCTCCAGGAGCAGCCTTCAAAAAGCCCCAAACCTCTATTTATTAAATTAAAACAAGGCACAACTGATGATAAAAGCTGTGGCTGCAATGAGAGAGCAGCTGCACCCCATGAGCTCAGCCCACGATTTTGGTTTTCCAGGAAAGCCCTTGGCAGAGGGGACAAAGGGGGATAATGGGGGGCTTGGCGTGCCAGGGAGCTGCTGGGGGTGAGCACAGCGAGGGAGCTCTTGGAAAGGACCTTTCTGCTTCATCTGCCTCTCCCAAGCTTCCCAGAAATCTGGTGAGCAGATTTGCAGCCCGCCTGCTGCCAAACTCAATCCCGGCCCTGGAGATGCTGTTTGGATAAGGATGAGACCAAAATTCTTCAGCTCATCTCCGTGGAGCTGAGCCAGCGCAGGCTGGAAAGGTGCAGGACAACCCTCAGGACACTCACCTGTCCCCAGAGAGGTGGCACTTCCCAGCCACACACAGGGACATCCACCAGGGGAGCAGCATGGGGGACCAGGGGCTCCGAGGCAAACCAAACCCCAGCCCTCACTCCCAGCTTCCATTCCAAAACTCCCCTAAATGTTGTTTTAGGGGCACTGCCCTGCTGGGCAGGGAGGAGGCTGCAGGTCCCACATCCCCATCCCCAGCCCTCACTCCCAGCTTCCATTCCAAAACTCCCCTAAATGTTGTTTTAGGGGCACTGCCCTGCAGGTCCCACATCCCCACGGAATCATGGGTGCCTCCAAGGAGGCTCTGGGCACCTCCTTTCGAGGGACCTGGCCTGGACTCACCTGCCCAGGGCTCTGAAACTCCAGGCTCTGCTGCCAGTAAGGCTCAGACCTTCTCCTTCTTCCTCATCTTCTTCCTCTTCTTGTTTTTGTCCTTCCACCTCCTCCTTCTCCCCTGCCCAGTCCCTGCAGACCTCTCACCACAGGAATTTAGGATTTATGCCCCCCAGAATTCCCCCCCCAAAAACCTCTCCCCACTCCAATGAATGCCGCATCCTCAAGACGTTCCTTTATAAGGGAGAGGAAACTGCCCCTGGAGAGCCACTAGAGGCTTCCAGTAATTAGTAATTACCAGTCCTGAAGAGCTGCCCCTGCCTCTCCTAACGAGGTTTGGTGCTAATTATAGCAGGCAGGGCCAGGAGCCCTGGTGAGGGGCCGCGGCAGCGACCACACGGAGCCTTCTGGATTCCTTGGGATATAAAAAAGGGCCGGGGTTACTCCAGGACAGCGATCCCGGCCCTGCCGAGTGCTCCTCCACTGCCAGGAGCGCTGGGGATGCTGTTCCAGGGCTGGCCTGGCCTCCTGCTCATCAGCTGCTCCTGTCTCATCCATCACTTGGAATAATTCCTGCTGAATATTGTGGGATTCCGCCATGCCCGGCTCCAGCCAGCAGCTAAATCCATCCCCTTGCACCAGCCCTGGGGATATTTGGGAGCTGAGCAACGTGGAATGAGAGCACCCAAATCCTTCATTTGTCAGGCTCAAGTGTGTGTTCAGCGTCCCAGTGGAGTTTAATCCCTCTGAGCTCTTCTTTGCCCATCCCAGCACTTCCCAAACCGGCTCTTCTCCAGCCAGGGCAGCAAAACCCACCCCAGCTGCTGGAAAACAAACCCCCGGCCCAGCTCTCAGCATTCAACTCCCTTGGGAATGCCATAAACCCCCTAAAAATAAACAAAACCCCCTCCTTGTCCAGCCCCCTGACACATTTTAGCCCTATTTGGGCTCTGCCCATACACAGAGCCCTGAGCAAATTTTAATTAACTAAATTTAATTTAATTCAGTAAAATTGGGATTTTAATCAAGGTGCTGAGAAGGAGCAGACCCAAATTTCTTTCCTGGCCCAGGTCTTTGATGGGGCTCATTCTCCCCCTCACAGGAGAATGTGGGTGCATGAAGAGAAATGGAATGAATCCTTGAAACCCCTCGGAGAGACACAAGCAGCACCAGGAAACACCTCTGGGACGCTCATTCTCCCCCTCACAGGAGAATGTGGGTGCATGAAGAGAAATGGAATATAATGAATCCTTGAAACCCCTTGGAGAGACACAAGCCGCACCAGGAAACACCTCTGGGAGCTGTAGGAGGGCAAAGGGTGCCTGGAGCAGGCTGGGGAGCTGGGATAAGTGGCTTCCCAGGCTGTGATCCTCCAGGGAATCCTTTTAGGGGTGGAGGGAGCCAGGAGGGTGCATGGTGCCAGGGCTCGGGGGGAGGATGAGACATGCCCAGCCCTAATTTAAGAGTGATCCCACACCATGCACTCCTTTCCTTAAGTTCCCTAAAATAACCTATCCTGGGAGTGCCACAGGTGGTTGGGAACTCGGCTTTTATTGTCACAGGACACGGCAGCAGACAATGGAGTCGGTCACAACAGAGGGGACAGGGGAGTCACACCACAGGGTCCCAGCACAGCCCCCACACCCAGAGGGAGGGAAGGAACATGAGACACGAGCCCAGCTCCTTCCCACACCTTTCCTGCCCCATCCCTGTGCAGAACAACTCCTCAGGCCACAGTAGCTTTCCCTCTGGGAATGGGGCAGCAGATGAGCAGACAGAGGGGGACCTGCAAACAGCTTCTGGAATTGGCTCCGTTGTGTCTGTGCCACTGAGCACAGCCTGGATGGGCTGGAAGGGTTTGAGGATCCAGGGGTTTTACTCACCAGCCACGCTGAGGAAGCAGGCTCCATCCCCAGGGAATGGCTGCTGCCAGCCCGGGAGCCAGCACGGCCCTCGGGGTCACCCAGCATGGTGGGTGCTGGCTTTGGGGTGCAGACACACCCAGCCAGCTCAGAGGAGGGAGGAAGTCCCCCCAGATGTGCCTATGCTGGGTCTGAATCCCACCAAAACACGGCTGAGCCTCCCTCCAAGGGTTGTCCCAACACCCCTGGAGTCACCAGGGCCACCTCAGCTCTGCCAGAGGGGGAGGAGGGAACAAAGGGGGCAGATGGATGAAGAAAACCTTCCCTGCTGGCACAAAGACCCCGTAAGAAGAACCCACAGGCTTCTGTAGCCAGTGCCACCTCCCCTCTCCTGCCCTTCCCCTCCAGAGAGCCGGCACAGCCCCGGCAGCCGCCCCCATGCCGGGCTGGAGCCGGGCGCTCACTCGGGAATGTAGTCCCTGAAGGAGTTAAAGCTGAGGCTCCGGCCCGCGGAGTTCAGGGTGGAGCTGGCTTGCATTTTGGGAATCTTCTCCATGAGCTTGGACACTGTCCTCCTCTTGAAGGAGCCCGGGGAGAAGTGGCCCTGCCTGAGCAGCTCCTGGTAGAGGCTGCTGAACACCGCCACCGGCTCCTCGTAGCTGTCCCGGGTGGAGATCTCGTAGAAGGGAATCTTGAGGGCTTTGGAGAGGTTCTCCCCGTCCTCGGTGGACACCATCCTGTCGAACTGCAGGTCCTTCTTGTTGCCCACGATGACCACGGGGGGCTGCTCGGCGCCGCTGCGCTTGGGGCTGCCGTGCAGGTGGTTGATGAGGAAGCAGAGCCGCATCACCTCGTCGAAGCTGCAGCGGTCGGTCACCGAGTAGACCACGGCAAAGCCATCACCCCACTTGATCTTCTCCTCGATCTGCAGGGAGTCCTCCTCCTGCCGGGGCACACAGGCTGCCGTTAGCACCGCTGGAATGACGGCACTGCTGGATGCAGCCCCAAAGAACCTCCCGAGGGCGCCGTCCCCGTGAAGGCTGAGAAGGAGCAGCCCCAAATTGCTTTCCTGGCCCAGCCCTTTGATGGGACTCATTTCCCACCCCCTCCCACCCCAGGAGAACATGGGTGTATGAAGAGAAATGGAATATAATGAATCCCCTTCCTTGAAGAGACACAAGCAGCACCAGGAAACACCTCTGGAGCTGTAGGAGGGAAAAGGGACTGCAGGGGTAACACCAGCAGCCCGGGGCAGGGATGGGGTGGCTTAGGTAGTGTGGCAGGTGGGGACCGCCATCAGCCCTGTCCTGGCATGGATAGTGGGGGAATCAGTGCTCCCTTGAGCTGCCAGGAGGCTCCACTGGCACAGGAAGCACAGCAATGCCCCACAAGGGAACGGGGAAATATTTACCTGAAGGGAATGGGAATGGAGGAATATATTACACTGTAACTGAGGTTAGACATAAATTCACCAAAACACCCTTTTCCTGAGGTAACCACCATGATGTTCCAGACAGCAGGAATTAGGCCAGTGGAAGAGCAGGGGCTGCCTTCCCTGGCAGGCTGAGCTCACCTGCCCGGCTGTGTCGAGGATCTCGAAGTGCACCATCTCCCCATCGATGACAGCCACGTGCCTGTAGATCATTTCTGGGCAGGACACACAGGGAAGGTGTGTGAGAGAGCCCCCAGGGAGCAGCCACAGCCCAGGTGACCGAGAGGGCAGCAGTGACCAAGGTGTGGGAGCAACAAGGGAGGGAGAGGGGCTCCAACAGGAGAGAGGGAAGAGGGGATATTTCTGGGACATTCCAGCAGGGACATGGCTCCAGTGCTCAAAAACCCAAATGCAAGAAAAAAAACCAAACCCAAAATCCTAGAATGCAGGAGAGCACAGGCTCCAGGGGCTTAGATGCCTCCTGTCCTTTAAAAGCCACCTCCCAGCAGATTGGGAAGGAATTCAAGGAACTGAGGAGCAACTGTTGGTTTGATGGTTGGACTCTCAGAGGTCTTTTCCAACCTAAATGATTCTGAGATCCTGTGATTCTGCATGATTCCACAACACCATGACTGAGCCTGCAGCTCAGCCCTGTGCAATCTGATGGTTTGTCCCAATAGATTTGCCTAAATAACGCCAGAAAGGGAAAAAGGCATGCAGGACCCTGGGAGGTGTCAGGATGTCCATGGGCTGCCTGTCTGGTTGACGAGGAAGAAGAGGGAATATGGTGAATTTGGGAGCAGAGTTGGCTCTGCCATGGTGACAGCCCCAAGGAAAAGGAGTTTTCCTACCTAAGGTTGGGTCATAGTCTCCAATGAATCTCCTGGTGATGAATCGCACGGTCAGCGCTGGAAAAAAAACACAACAAACCCTGTTGGAGCTGTCAGTCCTCTGGAGTAATTTTTCCTCCTTGCAAGGGCAAAGGAGCAGCAGGAACAGCCACAGCTCAGGCAATTAAACCCCCTCATCTGATTAGACATCTCCCTGCACCAGAGCCCGGCGAGGCAAAGCCTTTAGCCCTAACATCTTTTCCAGGAAGCTGCTTTGGAAATGCAGTGCTGATGCCTGGAGAGGGAATTTCTGGACAAAGCTACGCTTGGGAGGGTGAAGAGAGTGCAGGAGTGGAGGGTGGAAGTGGTGCTTGAGCCCTTCAAGGTGTTAATGATGATAATGGAGATGGGAGTGAAAGGTGGTGGAGAGGCTGAGAGCTGGCTTGGAAAGGCAACGGGAGTGGAAAGTGAAATTAGTGGAACAGAGGGAAAAAAACAGCGGGGGGGAAAACCCTGAAAGAGCTAGGCAGGAGCACAGAGCCAGAAGGGAGAGGAGGAAGGGAAAACAGACCAGGAGTGTGACAGGAGGATAAACGTCACCAGAATCAGGATGTGATAAAAACCCTTCCAGAAACAAAAGTGGAAATGAAAAGCCAACACCAAGCTGGAGCAACACTTAGAGCTCCCTTTCCCTTGAAACCCAGGGTCAGTTTGTCCCAGCTGCCCACCAGCAGATGTTGCTGATGTCCTGCCCTCACAGAGCTACATCAAGCTGATCAGGATCTGTATGTTTATCCCAGAAATGTGGCACCCCACATGGGCCAGGCTTAAATAACCAGGGAAAGAGGGATGCAGGAACTTCTCCTGCCTCTCACACCTGCTTGGCTCCTCTTTGGGGGCTTCACCATCCTCTCACCACCCCAGCCCCCCCCCACAGTGTGTCTCTGGGTTTGAAACCTGCACAGCAGGGAAGGGATTTGAAGTAAAAAGCAGGTAATTTAGCCAAACTGCTCTGAGGAGATAACCAGGGATCCTGCAGGAGGCACCTACAGGCACCTTCAAAGAGGCAACGGAGTTATTGGGGGAGCAGGACGAGGCAGGCACGGTCTGCAGAAAGCACCTGATTGTGTGTCATATGTCAGGCAGCCACCCAAAGCTGGAGCACATGGTGTGGGATGAGAAGAGGAGCCAATTAGATTGATTAAAAATTGGCTGGAGCGCAGGAACACGAGGGGAGCTGCCAGTGGGGGAAGCGGCCGCAGGCGGAGCGGCCGTGGCCACCCAGCCTTATAAGGAGCTTTTTCTCCCCATCCTGAACATCAGTCACCTCGGGAAGGGCTTTCCTTGGAGCTGAAAGGGTTAATTGTGGTTTAAATGTGGGGTGGGGGCTCAAGGGGTGATTTACCTGCCACGGAGTCAGGCTGGGCACCTCGGGATCGCACGGGCGCGTGCCCACGTGCTGCCCTGTTTGTGCGGCTGCGGAACGGCCCCAGCGCCGATCCATCTTCGCTCCACGTGCTGCAGGCAGAGCTCTGCTCTGGATTATGGCAGAGTTTACGCTGGGCAGCAGCAGCAGAGGATAACACAAGCCCCAGCTGGGCTGGATTTCCAGCCCCCGCTGCTGATTCACACAGCCCTGATCCTTAAACCACACGGCTGCACCCAAACCCACCCCTGCTTGGAGGTCTGGGACCTCGGGTCTCCAGATCCTGAAGGTTTCCAAACTGCTCCAAAAAAAAAAACAAACTCCTGCTGAGAATCGAGGATTATTTTTCCCTTTTGCAGCTGTCCAGGATTTCCAGCCCCCGCTGCTGATTCACACAGCCCTGATCCTTAAACCACACGGCTGCACCCAAACCCACCCCTGCTTGGAGGTCTGGGACCTCGGGTCTCCAGATCCTGAAGGTTTCCAAACTGCTCCAAAAAAAACCAAACTCCTGCTGAGAATCGAGGGTTATTTTTCCCTTTTGCAGCTGTCCACATGGGATTTGCCCTTTGGTTGTTTCCACCCCTCAACTCTCTCAACCTGGCTCTGTATCCCTTGGTTGCAGCAGCTCATCCTGGGGATGCTCCGGAGTGGGGCCCTGCCAGGATGGGAGCTTGGCAGCTCGGGGATGAAATCCACCTTCAGCCTCCTCTGCTTCACACCCTGGCCAGGAGAGATGTCACCCCCACCTTGGGGCACAGCTGCCTCCCCTATCCTCCCCCACAGGAGCTGAAGCAATGATGCTGCTGCTCTTGGCTCCTTCCTCGCCTCTCCCACACTCCATGCATCACCTGGGATGTCACCTGCCAGCTGGGCAGGGACAGCAGGACAGGTGTCCTCATACCCCAGCGCAGGGGCTGGCAGGCAGCAGGACCTGGCAGCTGGGGCACAGCGCCTGGGGAAGGTGACACGATGTCCTCTGGCAGGGGAGGACGTGTGGAACAGCGCCCAGGGGACACAGATGGGGAGGGACACGCTCAGGGGGCTGCGTGCCTGCCGTTCCCAGGGGCTGCTCCCTGTTCCTGGCACGCTCCAGCTTTCCTCTGCACGAGCCACAGATCAATTACCCCCTGTGCCCCATGGCCTGTGTGTCACTGTCCCACTGTCACAAACCCCGCTGCTGCAAGGCACACACGCTGACAGCCAGCCCTAACTGGAGGAACTTTTAAAGACCCTTGGCACCATCCCACCCTAAGGGGGAGGCACAAAAACCCCACACCTGCCCACGGGAGGGTTCCAAAGCTGCCAGGAATCTGCTGTGTGCCGGGTGGGATGCCCAGCAGCAGGGAGACACACGTGTTTGGGGTGGGGGCGAGCCAAGGGCTGTGCACACCCCATACACCCATCTGCTCCATCGGGGCCAAACACCTCCAGGGACCCCCCGGGGCTCTGGGTACCCCGGAGCTGAGCCCCATCCCGTGCTCCAGCACTGCTCAGGGAGAGCTGGGAGTTGCTTCCTTCAGTTTAATCAGGGAATGAGGATTTTTCCTTAATGCCGGCTGCTGTCCATGGAAACACAATTCCAGCGGCTCTGACAGCCCGGCACAGGTGCCATTGCTGCGGTGCCTTCCCTTTTCCAGAGGGGCAGGACATTCCCTGTCCCCAGGGGCACGGCAGCATAGCTGTGTCCTACCAGGTTTTGCATGGATCACGGATCACTGCAGTGTTGATCCGCATTTTTCCCTGCCTCTGACCCCAGTCCTGGCATTCCGAGTGGTACAGGGGACACCTTTGCCCCCAAGTGCTCACAGCTCGGGGTGGATGAGTGGGAAGTAGTGAAGGATGATCCCCAGGAAGGAATGGCAGCTGAGGTGCTCCCAGCGCAGTATCCCAAACCCCACCTCAGCAGGCACAGACGGAGAGCACTGAACAAGGCACAGGGAATTTTCCTGAGGGAAAACAGCCCGGTGCTGAGGAAGAGGCTCCGCACAGCTGCTGGGGGCGCTGGGAACGAGCAGCCAACTCCTGACACCCGGGAAAACCCAATCCCCAGCCCGGTTTTTAGGAAAGTTCTCCCGGTCAGTGATGTCCACCCCCGCTCCCCACGCAGCCAGGGACCCCTCGAGCCCCGGTGCAAAGTGTCCATGTGGGAAACTCGAGGGGAAGGAAACTCAGTGTCCTTAAAGCCCACGGGCTGGGGGGGCACCGGCAGAATGTCCCTCGTCCCGGCTTCCTAAGGGACATGGGAAGGTTGGTCCCTCTGGCCGGGAGGGAGAATACCGGGGGGATGCCAGAGGGGTGCCAGGGCATAGCAGAGGGATGCAGGAAGGTGCCAGAGGGATGCGGGGGATACCGAAGGACACCGGGGGGATTCCGGGGAGCCCCGTCCTACCTGTCTTGCCCACGGCGCTCTGTCCCAGCACGACGAGGCGCAGGGTGCGGGCCGGGCTGAGGCTCACGGAGCGGCGCAGGGGCCGCGGGAAGCTCATCCCGGAGCCGGCCCGGGGCTGCCCCGGGATCCGCCGCTCCCCGCTCCGCCGGGCGCTGCTCCGCCGGCTCCGCCCCGGGGGCCGGGCTGGGCTCAGCCCCGGGCGGGCCGGCTGATGCCCTCCTCCTCCTCCTCCTCTTTCCTGGCCAGCGGAGGCGGTCGTCATCCCGTCCCGGAGGCGGTTCGGGAGTTGTGCCTCAGTTTCCCCGCTGGCAGCAGCGCCGGGCAGCCCTTCCCCGACAGGAAAAGTGCTGCCCTCAAAGGGGCAAAGGCACTGTGGGACGGAGCCACCTGGGCTATGGAAGGTGCCCCTGTGCATGGCAGAGGGCAGCACTGGATGGGCTGTGAGGTCCCTTCCATCCCAAACCTTCCTGGCATTCCCTGAGTCTGTAAGAGTGAGGAAAGAGGGAAGTGGTGCAAGACCTCCCCAGCCAGAGTGCTGCCTGCCCCCAAACCACTGCCTGAAATCACAATTGTGCCCATGTTTGTGCACCAGACAAGTCAGTAAAGACAAGAGGAGCTGACCTAGCCCCAGCCTTCCCCCTTGTCCCATGAGCAGGGCAAGGAGTGAATCCTGGCTTAGCACAAACCAGCCCCTAAATCCCCATGGATGTCCAAGGGCAAGGACTCCACACCAGGCCTGGAACCAAACTTTGTGTGCTTTGGGGCAGCAGTATGAGGGTGTACCCAGGGAATGTGTAACAGCTCAGAGCAGTACCTGGAGCTGGCATGGATGTGCCTTGGGCATCCTGGGAAGAAGGGACAAGCCTGACAACACCCTGGGCAGCATCTTGACTCTCTCCATCAGACCCCAGAATGCTTCTGACCCATGGAACACAGATCCCAGGTGACACCAGTGCTGCAAAAAAAGAAACTGGGAGAAGGGACCTGGCCAAGGGTGTGGAGCCTTCAAACGCCCACATCAGGGACTCGGTCCCTTTACCAAAGGCTGCAGTCACTTGTCCGGCACAGGGATCTCTCAGCCTGACCATCTGGGGTGACTTGGCACAGCCCACTCAGTGCCTGAGGGAACATGAACCCACCTGGTATTTATAGCCCCTATCAGGTGTCCAAAGGGAACGTCCTGGTGCCTACAGGGACATCAGCACTCCACCAGCCACGGGGTTATCGGGATCACAGCTGCTGCCAGCGGGATCAGCGCTGGAGGGAGGCCCCTGGATAACTCAGGGAATGTCATGGAGAGCCTGGAGAGCCAGCAGACCTCTCCCAGAAACCCATCTTGCCATCACATGTGTCCCCCTTGTGCATCAGCCCCTGGAAAGAGCCCTGCTCCGGCTTCTCCAAAGCAAAAATCGGGCTCATGGCTACATCTGGGGCCCAGAAAACAACAGCGAGGCAATAAACAGATTTTGGGACAAAAGCTGATTCCCAGCTGGGGAATGGGGGGGGAGGGGGGGGGGGCGTGTGTCAAGAAAAAGAAGTCTCCTTTACATTTCTTCCCTATTTTTAGCCCCATTTCCTACGGAAATGAGATGTCTGCAATCAAGTCCTCTTCTTGCCTGATCCTCTGTAAGACCATGAGTTTTAATACATTCCTGATTCCAGGCAAACGAGGGAGAAGCCACAGAGAAAACCCTTTTCCTGCAAGTTGTGTGACAACAAATGGCCAAATTTCATGGAAAATCGACCCTTGCACTTTGGAAGGCAGGAGCTGGCTGGGGGAATGCAGAGTAACAGTTCCTGCTGCTCCAGGTTCCTGCTGTGCTTGCCTTAGGTGCAGCACCTTGGCAGCACAGCCCTGGCAGCTGGGCAGTCACACTTGCCTTAATTCTGAGTGTGTTAACAGCACACGGATTCTTGGGGATGAAGGAACAAAGGAACAAAAAGGATGGAATTTAAATGGAAGCACAGCTGCACTCATGCCACAGACTTCCAATGTCACCTTGGGAAAATCAGCTCCCTTCCCACCACCTCCATCACCACTATGACCTTCCAATCCAATACCAGCTGCTCCAGAAAAATATACCCCTGGATTCCTTAGGAAAAGGGTCAGTGTGAGTCCCAGAGCTGGGGAGTTTGTGTCCCTGACAGCACAGCTGGGAGAAACTCCTGCTCCTCAGGCACAGCTCTCCTTGGCGTGGTGGAAACCACGTGCGAGTCCCCACAGGAGCACCCAGCGCCACGTCCCACGTTTGCCAGGGAATATTTGGCAATGGAAACAGGACTTTATCACCAGTGATCGCTGCATGATCCACCTCCAGAGCTCTGCAGCTGAGCCCAGTGGGAAAGGTGCAGGAGATATTAAGTCCTGGTGAAATATTTGTGGTCAGGCTCCTCCATACTTGCCGGTCCTTCAAGACACAAGGAGTCTGCTCTGGGAACCAAGCCAGAGGCTCCCATGAATCACGGCCCTGCAAACAGAAATCAGCTGAAATGAAAAGCTGGCCTAGAGCAAGAGCCAAATCCCCTCAGGTCATAGCCCCAGATCGGGGGGATCCCATTCCATGGGCTAAACCACTTCCCTACTGGATTGTCAGCTGTTTTGAGAGCTGTCCAGAAACTGAACTTTGAGGCTTTTGAAACTGGGCAATGGTTTTTTTCTTACTTAGGAAAGGAAGAGAAAATAACACCAGTCCTTCTTCTCTCCGTGAGATGATACAAAGGCATGGAATGCCAAATGATCCATGCAGGAGCCAACTCCAGTTCAAAAATGACTGAGGTGTCTCAAACTTTGGTTCCCCAAGGCTTAGCTCCTCTCCCAAGCCTGCATTTGAAGGGCTCAAACCCTTTTCCAGCTCATCCACCACATTAAATTGCCACTTGTTAATTACTGCACAGACATTCCCTTGTGCAGCTCCATCAGGGAATGCTCTCCAAGGATATAACCAAAGCCACACTGCCCAGTCCATAAACACATTTTGGGTTGCTGCAGCAAACCCAGCACACCCAGAAGTCCCCCCAGCCTTCAGCCCCTCACCTTCCTTTATTCACTCTGTTCCTTCTGACACCAATCCTGCTGTGAAACTTGTGCATTCACATCCAAAGCACAAGGACACAGATCCCAGCTGCTTCTCCATTTGCTATGAACAGGGAGAGGGAGAACAGATGAAAGGCCCCATGTCCAGGCATGCCGGCCACTGCTGGACTCCTTCGTGTGGGATTTGCATCAACACAGACCCACTGGGAACACGTTCCCTTTCTTTTTTTTTAATAAAAGGCTGTTTTTTAGGTCACAGGAGATAATAAAACCTCTAGTGCAGGAGAAATCCAACCAACAGAGTTTCCTGATGTCCCACCCACTGGGAACACGTTCCCTTTCTTTTTTTTTAATAAAAGGCTGTTTTTTAGGTCACAGGAGATAATAAAACCTCTAGTGCAAGAGAAATCCAACCAACAGTTTCCTGATGTCCTGTTCCTGTCTGCCGCTGAAGCGGATTCCGACACGCGGCTGGATCACGCTGAGAAAACAGATCTGGCTCCACGTCAGAGCTCAAAGACTCCTTCCCAAAGCTGTGAGGGATAAAAAACACAGGGAAGGGGCAAATTAACAGCACTTCCCTCCCACCCCAGGGCCTGAACAACATGTCCCGAGAGCTTTGCCACTGGATAAACACCGGCAGCTCACGGCTGGCAGAGCGCGCGAGCCAAATGTCCTGAGGGAGCTGCTAAATCCCTCTGCTGCCCCTTGGCTTCCAAAGAGAGTGTCCTGCACTTTGTTTTCCCGCAGGAGCTGGCTCTTGGGAAGGAGGACACAGCCACAGACCCCGTCTGTCAGGCTCCATCAGACTCCACAAACAGCTCCTCACGGCGGGAAGCTTCCCGCTGCGGGAACGGCTTTGCTTGGGAAGCTGATTTTAGAACGCAGCACACTGTGCTGAGGGAAGGAAGACAAATCCCATCGTGGAAGTAACTTAAACCTCCAGAAACGCTGCAAAAAGCAGTCCTGTGGGATGACCAGGGTGCGGCTGTTTTACCTTCAACACCAAGATTTTATGTGAAACACAACTCCAAGCCCCTCGAAGCTGCAACATCCAGAGCACTGGAGGGGTTTGGAACAGCACCAGCCTTTGAAATGATGGAAAACCCGCTCCAAAGCAGCTCCTAAAAGCAGCTGGTTGTAAGGGAGAGGGAAAAACCTGGAGCCACAAAGGAATTCTGGTGCCATAGGCACTCTTGAAAGGGCAGAGGAGGAGGGCATGGCACACCGAAATCAGGAATCCTGGAGAGGGGAGGGCAAGGAGGGGTCTCGGGGGACACACACCTGGGATCCAGGGAGGAGCAGGGCCAGGGTTGCACTTGGCATTCCTGCCCCGAACAAGGGATGCCATGGGGAGCCGAGGGAGCACTTCCCCAATCATTCCCGCCAGCCATTCCCGAGCAAACCCTGCAGCTGGCGAGAAAACAACGCTTCCTTATGATGGGAAATGTCAGGGCTGCGGAGCCAGCTGTCCTGCTGCCGCCGAGCCCTGCCGGCATTCTTGGAAAGCACAGCAGGAGCAGCACAGGCAGCGGCTTTGTGGCCAGCGGGCAGGGATCAGCGCTGGAATTCACTCCCAATTCCCAGCACATGCCCTCTGCTCGGCTCTCCAGCCTCCCTCCCGGGGTGGGGGGGACAGACGCCACAGGGGTGGCCGGAGCCCAGGCCTGCTTCTTGTCTGACCCACGTGGATCTTCAGCTCCGGGCAAAGCATCGCGAATTCCACCCGGAGCTGGTTGGTCCTGGCAGAGAAATTTCTACCACCAATCGGTGCTTTAAGGAAAAAAAATCCCAAACCGGTTTTCTTGAGAAATTCCTGCTCTCAACCTATTTCAGTGCTATTTAGCACCAGGAAGGGTGAAAAGGATCACCCCCCTGAAGCTCCATGGAGACCTGTGACTTCATCCCTGAGAGCTGGGCATTCTTGCTTCCACTTGGAATGGCAAAAAGCTTTTGATTCAAATTCTCCTGAAGAAAGCATCAAAATAATCCCTTTTTACCTCAGTCTGAATAAATAATTCCAACAAAACCTGCCTATTTTGCATCATAAACATTTTTAAGCCAAAAACTTCCTAATACTGGTTGGATTTTCCCTTCCTGAATTTTTTCCCCCCCCTAAAATGCAGTGAAACCACCCTAATTTTGTGTAGTATCTCACTTGGATCAGATCTACATTCCCGAGGGCTTTTTGGGGGATCAGACTCACAGAACTTAAGCCCTTTGCTTTTCCCTTGACTCCACAGCAGCCTCTGCCCTCCGTATTGTTGAGCCCAGAATCCTGTGTTATTTCCAAGTGTTTCTTCCTATTTGGGAAGGACAGAACATTCCTGCTACATCCCCTGAAAGCCAAGACATGCTGTTTCTTAGCCCCAGCTCTCAAACACAGAGGGACTGAGGGTTTCCAGTCCAATTCCTTCGGCTGGCAACGCCGCTTCCGCTGTGGACCGGGAACAGCCTGCATCCGGAGGCTGTGGTCCCTGTGCCAGCCCACGGCACACTCTGCCTGCTGCTGGGATCTGCTGGTCCCAGCACGGGACTGCAATCACCTGTGGGAGAAGGGGAGGAGGTGGGAGATGGTTTTTGGAGGGGCCTCCCCACCCTTTCAGTTTGGAAAAAGTTGGGAATGAGGATGCGAAGATCCAGGCTGTCCCTGCCTTCACATTCCATCAGCTGCTGAAAACTGTGTTTAACCTCAGCAGCAGGGAAAGAGCAGCATTCCCAAGGGCTATTTGTGCCAGAGGATCTGAAATGGGGAGGGCTGAGTTGAGGGCTGAAGAACCAGCTCAACCCTGGGACACCTGGATCCTTTTCCAGCAGCCACAGCCACCACAGTGGTGCCTGAAGTGATCTCCCAAAGGAATTGTGAGACTGGACAGCCAGGGCCAGCTCCAGATGGAACAAAACTCCCATTTCCCTCAGCACAGGGCTCTGGCAACCTTTGTCCCAGGAGGAGCCGTGGTGGGAGTGCAAGGGACAGCCAAATGTGGTTTTATTCCCAATGTGAAGCAAGCTACTCCCTAGGGAAGTGCAGGGTAAGCAGGGCCTGTTATCCCTTCCCATGGTGACTATTAGGAACCCCACAGTACAAAAATCTCCAGGAAACTTCAGCAAACTCTCCTCCTGGTGGATATCCAGCCCAGAAACGGCAGCAGACCTCAGCTGGATCCACCTGGCCTTGTATGTGCTGCTCAGGAAAGGACAGTGCTCAACGTGCAGCCACAGAAGAGGGAAAAGACCAGGACCTAGACATGGAATACACTCAGCAGGCCAAAACTCAACTCTGAAATAGGCACAAAATCCCTTGAGTGTATTCCATGTCTAGGAATATACTCAGCTGAGCCACCAGTGTCTCATTTTGATGGTGTTACACACACACACACACAATTTATTGCTGCTCACCTTGAGGAGGGGAATTTTTCAGCTCCACTTCCCAGTGTTAATGCTTAAGAAGGATTTTCACCCCTTGGCACGACCTGGGAGTAGATCTGAGACCCTGCAGTCACCTGGTTTCACTGCTCTCTTCAGTCCCACACGCTGAGGGCCACGCTCTACCCCAGGATATTCCCTGGACCCACACAATGCCAGGAATTACATGGCCAGGATTCCTAAAATTCAAGTAGTGTGAAGGCAAAAAAATCCATCAGGCATGAAAAGGCTGGACAACCAGCAATGGATCCTGGCTAGTTTAAAACTCCTGGCAAATAAACACCAGCAAGGCTGAAGCAACAGTTTAAAAAATATTTCATTATTTTAAAAAGAAAGCACATAGAGATTTCCATTTCCCACCACAGCAACAAGTCCAGAACTTCCCAGTGTCAAGGCAGTTTTATTTCCACAATTGCCTGGAGCAGCAATGATTCCCAGGAACACCTCCCCAGTCAGGACAAGCAGGGGTAGATTTCAATGGTGTTGATCCGAAGGACAGTCTGGGGGTTTGCAATGACTGAAAAAGAAGGAAAAGGGGGGAAAAAAAGGATCAGGTAACAGCATACCTCATTCCAGGGCTACTGACAGTGGCATTCCATGGGGATGCCAAGGACAGCAGGTCCCACAGGGCAGCCTGGTCAAGGCTTTCCCATCCATCCCATGTAAAAATAGCCATAATTCTTCCCTCTCTCAGAGAAGAAAGAGTCATTTGGCAACCAAAACCTGGGCAGGACCCTGTTTGGCTTGCTGGGAGCTGTGATGACACACCCAATGTTCAAGGCTGTGGGTGCACCTGGGAGAGGGGCTGGCCCTGAGGGGCTCTGGGGACACGGAGAACAAGCCCCTTCCTCAGGTCCTGGTGCTGGGATACCTCCCCTCCCACGTCCAGCAGGGAAGGAAACGTGTCCTTTGCCCCTTACTTTTCTTCCTCTGGTAGTTGTGCCTCCTCCAGAAGCGCATGTTGACCTTGGGCCATGACTCTGTCTTCTCAATCACCGTGGCCTCCACACGCACCAGGTCCTTCCTTCAAAGGAGGGTTAGAAGCACCAGGTTTTAGTTACTCACATCCTATCACCGTCACTGCTACAAATGAAGGGGCTGTTTTCAAGCTAAGAATGATTTATTGCTCAGATCAACACCAATCTCAGCGGCTGTGAGATTTCAGAGGAGTAAATATTTGGCCATAGGTCAAGAGCAGTCACAAATTTCTTTGTTACAAGGCAATATATTAACTCCCTAACTCAACAGACAGTTGCCACAGGGTTTATTTTACTTTCCTAACTTATCACCTTTACTTACTTCTGCTGCACTGCAGATACTTTTATCCAATGGGTTTCTAACTCACAGGCACAGATATGTTTTTGTTATAACTTTAAACAACTACACCCTTATATTAGAAACTCTTCACTATCTTATCAGTACAGTTTCTCACTTACTTCAGGTATATTCTCACAACAACAGAAATATAAGTTCATGATTTTTTGGTTTAATATCTGTGTATTGTATTTTCACATCAACCTAAGCTTTTTTAAGGCTGCAGATCAAATTTTTAAGTGCTACTCTTGGGCAGCAGATTTCTGAGAGAAGAGACAAAGGGATGACAATCCTGGGAATTCCAGATCCTCTGTGGGAGGAGGGCCACCTGCCCAGGCACAGCCCAAAGCCTCCAGGTGCTGCAGCTGGCTCAGGTGTGACAGGTCACAGCTTCCCTGGCATGAGAGGGATGAGATCATTCCACCAGAGCAGGCAGCAGACACAGGGACCTGCAGGAACTTGTAAGACTGAGGCAAGATAAATTCCCATGGCACCTCCAGGTGATCTCATGTGCCCTGCTTTGGTTTTGGCACAGGATGAGC